GCTCCAATTCGCGCTTAAGCGTCTGAAACAAACATACATTTTCGTCAATTAAGTTGATAGCGTCCTACAACAAAACATTATTTTATTTCATTATAATACTCACAGTGGCAGTCTCTTTGCATGGCCCCGATGCTAGAAATTTCGCTATTAAGAAGTACAGCTCTGAAATAAAGAAAGGAACGTGTACACGATTAGAGAGGAAGCTATACACACACTATACACACACACAGAGAGAATACCCAACAGAGCTCTTAGGCAGGCGGCTTTGCCGACAGTTAATGCTACCTTATCACATTTCAATCTTTACCTGATTTTATAGCTGCCTCGTTTCTTGATACACTTGGATCCATTTCATGCGACGAATCCATCGTTGTTCACTCACGTTAACGAAGATTTATTTTTTTCGGGTCATAGCGTGGCGATAACCATTTTACTATTCATTTTCTCTTGGTTGATCTCGACCGCGAGACGCATTCGCACGCTCTCCTCCTCGGCGTAAAGTAGTACCCCCGCCTCCTTAACCTGCTCTTCTCCCCTCCTATCCCCATCTAACCAGAACGCTACAACTGACGAATCGCAACGCACTAGTCCAGGGATGTATTTCCTATTCCTCAATACCCTCGTCTTATTTATCGTCTTTTTCTTTTCTTTGTATATATATATATTTTTTTTTTTCTTTTTTCTCTTTTTTTCTTTATTCATTTTCTCTTTAAACTTTTACGACCATGAATGTTTTCAGTACTTAAATAACAAATCACGTTAATCTTACTACTATATTATAAATATTTTTCTTACCTTTGGGTTAACAATTACGAAATAAGAATGTATGTATATATACACATATACATATATATATATATATATATATATATATATATATATATATATAATGTGATTTGTGTTATGTACTAGTTACATTTACAGTTAGTGTTAAAACTTGCAAGTTAGATTATTGGGCATAACTTCTTAAGATATATGAGTTATGTTTTGATATCATTAGTGTAAATGTATTATAATTACTAATATTTAATAATTTAAAAATAACATAATTTACATATTTAAAATTTTTTTACTTAAATTAATAATTATAATGAAAAAAAAGGAAGAAGTAAATAGTAGTTTTTTTTTTCACTAAATAACCCTATATCATTTTACTGCCAATTTATAGTATAATACCAACTTTTAAGAACAAGGTTCTTCGATTGACACCATTATTTTAACAACTTGGCTTGAAAATATTCTTTATGTTAATCAGCAATATATTACATTAACATAAAATATTAATAATTAAGAAAATAATATTAATATTAATTTTAATTCTAAAGTAGATTTATTTATATCTAAATATTTTATAATAATTAAATGACATATTAAATGAATTTTACTCATTGATAAGACGTAAGATTAATAATAAATATATTAATATTATTATATATTATATTATTAGGTATATTTATTTTATTTATATATAATAAATTAATAATTGCAGAAATATTATAAATATAATATAAAATATATATAATTTATTCTGTATTGTGTAATTTATTTTACATTTATTATATTAAAATAAAATTTTTTAGGTTAGAATTATATATATATATATATATATAAGGTTTGTAATTCATATGTAAGATAGTAAAAGAATGCAAAATTTTATAATTACTTGCATTAATAATCATGCATATGTACTACCATTTTTTTGCTTAAAATTTATTAAAAGGTAATAAATAATACTCTTATAAGAGTTTGAATAAAATATGTATGCTCATTATGTTATAATCTTATTATTTTTTTTTTTTTTCTAGAAATTATCATGTCAACGATGATTGTGATTTTCTTTATTACGTAAATAAATAAAAAATAACAGATAATTGATATAACATTATACTATTACATAGTGTTTAACAAAAAATTACAAGTACATATATTTAACCTCTTTAATATTGAACAAAAGTAAGTTTTAATATAGAATTATAATTACAATTATAATTCAATATTAATCCGATTATAAACATATATCATCTTTATACGTTTAACAGTTAGGGTACGTAAAAACAAGTAAAAAAAAAAATAATCACGAGACAGATATTCAAGATGGTCGCTACGAAACTTGAAACAGCCTCGAAATCGTACAGGTTGCGCGTGATCATTTGTAAAGGTTCTTTACATTAATCAAAATGTTATAGAATAAATTTATATAGAATAAATGCTATATTATATGAAATATAAAAAAGAATCAATAGTCAAACGTTTTGTATATTCAAAATGTTTTTGTATTCTAAGATGATGCAAGTATTTAACCAACTCATGAAAAGATTGATCGAGGATGAGTCGATTGGATAAAATAAAGTGTATAAATATGATTTAAATGTGTATTATAACACTTGATAGAATATTTCATAACTTATATGATAAATTTTTAAATACGAGTGATCACGTGAAAATAATTATTTTTTTAATCGGAATATATGGCAGCATTGAGAAAAAAAGTGCAAAAAATTGTATATAATAATAACCTTTTAAAAACGATTATTGAAATAACTTATCAAGAGTGAACATAATTATATCTAATTAGAAAACGTTTTAGATAAACAATATAGCCTTTATAAGTTTCTTCCAATTGTGTCATCTATCTTAGTAGTTCACAAAGACTTATTAAGGTACTACTTGCATGGAAAAAATTATTCTTCTTTATTTAATAAATTTTATTTATTTATACAAATAAATAATATCATTTTTTTATTTTTAAGACTCACAAAAAATATATATCATGTCGTGGATAAAAGAAAGTACATTAAATTGTTTCCATTATTTAGTTGTAAAAATTTTAAGGAGTGGTGAAATTCCTAAACATGTTGCATTTATTATGGATGGGAATAGAAGATATGCGAACAAAAAACGTATTGAAAAAATAAATGGACATACGGAAGGGTACGTATATATATATGTATATAGTATGAACAAAGATGTTTAATTATACACCGTATTGATAAAATTAATAACGTCATTTTTCTTTAAATATTAGGTTTCACAAATTAACCGAAACTCTACAGTGGTGCTTAGACCTCGGTATTCCAGAAGTAACAGTTTATGCATTTAGTTTAGAAAATTTTAAAAGGTCTAAGGAAGAAGTCGACGGACTTATGAAACTCGCTAGACAAAAATTCCAAACTTTGATAAATGAAAAGTAATTGTACTTTTTTTTATATAATATTTCTTATATCACTAAGTTCTTATTATTCTATTGAACTATTAAGGAAATCCTAAATAAAATAGAAATATTTTCTTTATTTTCAGACAAAAATTAATGGAAAATGGTGTATGTGTGCGTATTATAGGAAATTTAGAATTACTTCCAGAGGATCTACGCAAATTAATAGCTGAAGCTATGATCATTACCAAAAATAATAATAAAGCATTCCTTAACATTGCTTTTGCTTATACGTGTGAGTATATGATAGAAATAAATGACTTTATAATTTTCTTTTTCAACATTTTTACTTATTATTTGTTTAGCAAGAGATGAAATGACATATGCGATTAAAGATATATTAAAAGGTATTAGAGATGATGATATTTTACCAGAAGATATTAACGAAGACCTCATTTCTAAGTGTTTGTACACTTATAATTCTCCAAATCCTGATTTACTTATTCGTACTTCTGGAGAAATTCGTCTCAGTGATTTTCTTATATGGCAGGTAAACATTTTCAAGATATTTAATATTTTAATCAAAAATTGAATTTATTTAGAAGTATTGCATGATATAACAAATGTTTACAGGTTAGTAACTGTTGCATCTATTTTGCTGATGCATTATGGCCTGAATTTAGTGCTTGGGATTTATTTGCTGCGGTATTTTATTATCAAAGATGTTATACAAATTTACAAAATATTACAAAAGCACAAAATATAACTAATTACAATAGCAGAGTTACTAATTATCTTAATAAATTATATAATGAACGGGATATTATGCTGCAAAAAAGATGTGCTTCAAAAGTTTTAGCATACGATGAAAATAAATGATCCATTAAGAGAATATATACAATTATCAACCAAAAATATAATTATACAGAACAGATAAGAATATGTTTTTCATCCTCTTCATTTTCCTCTGACTATTTTGTTAATATTTGTGCTTATGATTTTTATTTAATTTTTCATATTATATTTTTAATCAGACAATATATATATATTTTATTTATTTGTAATACTATGAACAAATATCTGTATAATAATGGGGAATAATATGTTAATAGAAAATTATGGAAAATTATAACCAGGCAGCAACTTGCCAATTACTTGCTAGTCATATACGTACATATATTTACAAATAAATCGTAACTAAAAGTTTTACTATATTGTCGTATGTACTTACAAAACTGCGTAAATCTAAAAACTCAGGGATATATTAATATAAATTATCACACTACGTAAAAAGATATTTTTATTATATTAGATAAATAAACATCACTTATTATGGTATTTTATTTCGTTAGTATTATATATATATATATATATAATAGTTCATAAAAATAATATTTTTATATAACTTTTAACACATCACATTTGCTTATTTCTGATAAAATAAAACATTCCTCAGTAATTTTAATTCATTTCTTATATATTCTAGACAATTTTGCACATTTTATTTTCTTTGGATCGTATATGCATACACAGAATAATAATTATGTATAATCAAAAAGATCTCAAAAATTCTATATATACTTTGATTAAAAACAAAAAAGACCCTCACAATTGGAAGCTAAAACATTTGTAGTAAAAATGAAAATTGTGATACTTGTACTATATAGACTTAATTTTCAGCACAAAATGGTAATATTTATCTCATTATAAAAGTTTACAATATTCACAATAAATAATTTTACGTATTATGTTATATCTGTACATGTATATACATATGATTAAGAATGTAGTATTTATAATGAAATAAATTGCATCTATACGTAATTTGTAAATAAATATATAAATACATTAGTATAATGTATGAATCATATTAAATAAAATTATATATATATTAAATCTAATGTTATAGTAAAAACTTGTCAATAAGATATATCTCGTCGTATTTCACTTAGAATTAAATTGCGGATAGCGTCTTGCTGGAGGTTGTCTTTGCCTGGCAAGAAAAGATTGCCCTTGTCCCGTGTTAAGTGCCATAAGATGTTGATCTAAAGCTTCTCTATGAGAGGATAATCCTAAACGATAAAATGCTGATATCATTAGCTTCTCTTCCATTTCTCTGACCATCTTAGATTCTTTTAAAGATCTTTCCATATCTTCAATCATTTTACGTTGTTCTATAATTTGATTGCGTAGTACAACTATTTCCGAAGGTGAAGAATTATTTTGCTTAGGATCTAAACTTTTAATAACACTTTTTGCTTTCTCAATGTATTTCTTATAACGTTCTTCAAGTGCTGCATTCTCATATTCGCGTCGCGTTAATTTTTCTTGCAATGCAAAAACTTTTTGTTTCTGACTTTGAGAAGCATTATCTCGATCCTCAATTTGTAATACCAAACGTTCTCGTTCAACTTGCGCTCTTCTTAATTCATCCTGTAATTGTGTTACTTTTTGCTGTAACGTAATATTGTCATTTTTATTATAAGTACTAGATTGATTCCCAATAGCTTCTTCTAATTTATTTTCTAATACAATTATCCTCTGATTAGCTTCACGATTTTGTCCTCTGAGATTATTTAATTGTTCTTCAGAATGTTCAAGTAATGCTTGTACCGTAGGTAATTTATCATCGTTACCTTTTTGTTTTAATTTTAACATTTTATTTTCATATTGTAAAAATAATAATTTCTCTTTAACTTCAAGCGGAATCATTTCCGTATTTCCTACTGCATCATCTGACATAGGTTTAGCAATATTTTCTGCTGCTTGTAATTGAGTACATTTTAATTCCTCATTAGTTTCTTTCAAAGCATCCCGTTCTATAATTAATCTATCTCTTTCTCTTTGCAGTGCGCTCAGGTTTGCTTCCATTTTTTTTCCTTCAAATTCAAGCCTATCACATTTATTACTTTGTTCATCTAACTTATGACTAACTTCTGCAAGTTGTTGTTTACAGAGTTCTAGATGATTACGTAACATGGTAACTCGTTTATTCTCTTCCTCATAATCAATTTTGGCTTGTAAATATTCCATATTTTTTTCTTCCAGAATTTTAACTTGTCGTCTTAAATCGCTCAAATCTTCCATCTTCTTTTTATAAGAGTCTATAGTAACTTCGTACTTAGCTATTTTATCTGCTGTTTCACGTAATGCATCTACTTCATCTTTTAGGATATTAGCTTCGTCAGCAGCTTTTTGTAAATCTTCTTGCTTAGTTTGTAATTCTAATACTTCTTTCTCTAATAATTCTACTTTTAATCTATAATCATCTCTAGAGGTCTCCAATTTAAATACTTCATCTTTCAAATTTTCTACTTGTTTTCGAAGACTAGAATATTTTAAGATAGAACCGGTATCTTCAGGATTTTCAAATTCGTCTAGTCTCTCTTGGAGTTTCTTATTTTCAGCAATCAATCCTACTTTTTCTTCCTGAAGAAAAGAAAGTTGTTGATCAAGTTCGTGACATCTTTGTTCTAATTGTTCTTTCATATCTACTGCGATTTGTAGTTCTGATAATAATCTTTGTTGAGCACCATCAGCTACATCTAATGATTCAAAGTTAAGACTAGTACCCAAACTTAATCTAGGACCGTGCATGCTACTTTCTAACGTTTGAATACTTTGCATAATAGCTTGTTGCACCGACTCTTCCATACTCATAATTCTAGTTATATATTGTTGTTTTTGATTGCAATTTATTGCGCATCCAAGAATAAGTTGTAGCAAACGACACAATTCATCTCTATCGCAATGTTCTCCTATCTTTCCGGCATCTGGCTTTATGTAGCCGGACAATTGTTGATTCAAACATTCTATATAATATTCCATTACAGCTTCAACAATTTTTTTAAGATTGCTTACTTTAAGACGCCAATTAGAATTAACATCTGTCTTTATTTTTGCCTTCCAAACTGCTGTAAACCATTCTGGTGCTATTTGTGCCAAAACTTCTGCCAATGCTACGCCATCGCTTATATCTTCTGGGGTTGAATGAGCAGCCTGAAGATCAAATGTACCTAACCATTTGATCAAACAAATAATCAGCTGATCTCCCATCTTTCAGGATAATTATTTAACAAATTAATATCCTTTTAAATATTTATATGTTTGTATAAATAAATAATTCCATATATATTGTGCAAAAAAAGAAGACAACCTATATACAATATTTAATGAGACCAGAGAGAAATAATTTATTCACTGCATATAATAAAACGTTGTTGACATAAAAAAAAATAAAACAATAGAAATAAAAGTCAAACCTGACAATTTGTTTAATTTATTAAAAAATGTATTGTCACGTCATCTTTAAATTAGCAAACGTTCAGATGTGCAACGTGTATCGATGCACAGTGCTAAAACACTATTGCCATATATTTCTAGTAAAAATTCCCTACATTCTTTAACATCAAAAAGCAACTCTTGAATAAAAATTATATTATTTTAATATAAAGTTAATAAATATAAATTGTGTGTGTTAATTTGAAAATAAATAATTATTTATTATTTGTCATTTGATATTAAATTATAGTAACTTTTTTTTATAGATTAATACATTAATCGAACTTAAAGTGGCAGTAGTGGCATGTTCAACTGTCATAATAAAGCTCTTTGTTTAAAAAATTTAAACAAATTAATGAAATCTATTATAATATTATAATAAAATAATTTTTAAAGAATTATTTGAAGAAAAATATATTATCATATTATAATTTTTCACTTATTATTTAGATATGGAGGAAGTAGAATCTTTAAAAGGTTTGCTACAAAAAAGAAGAAATATTTGTCGTGAAAAGTTTAAAAATAATAAGGAACAACAGTTAGAAGAATATAAAAATTTAATGAATGAGTTAAAAACTTTACGAAGTAATGAATTACAATGCTTATTAAATATAGTAACAAACACTTTTTACTACAATTTATATAATAATTAATCATTAAATTGTTTTTAGATGAAAGTATGGAATATCAAGAGATTATTAGTAAAAACTGTAATTATTTAATTACACACGAGAATGCGATAAAAAAATTGTTATTTGAATCCAAAAATACACAGGGTTTACCAATATCGCATGAATGCCATCGGTAAGTATATTAATATAAATTTTAATTATAAAAAGTTCTCATTTATATTTACATTTATCATAACATTATTTGTTTAGACAATCGGTAGAATTTTTTTCAAATGCTTTAGAATTTTTAAATAATTTTCAAGCTGCTAATGGACCCTTAGAAATCTTACAAAATGATAACATAGACGCCGAAAAAATAGTGAATAATATCGTAAGTATAAATGAATATTTAATTCAGTAAATATAACTATATCATCATATTTAATTTATTTGTATAGGTGACATGTACCAATCATGTAAGTAATGAATTTTACAAAGCTAAATCTGCATTTCTACAGATAGAACAAGTCAAAAATAATATCGATTTTCTTTGCAATCTTAACATTATTTCCGATGGTAAGTTTTCTTTTATATCCTAATTTATATTTAATATATAAAATTGTGTGAAAAATCTCTGTATACCTTAATCTATTTGTATAATATTTTATTTACATTTTTTATTTTTTTATTAGATGAAAATGAAGAAGTGAATTCATCAGATTCGCAATCTGTTGACCTCATACATTAGGTATGTAATTATTCTAATGAATGAATTAGACAATCTTTGTACATACTTATGTTTAATATTTTATTAAATACCCATTGTTTCAAGGCATTTATTGGTGACATCTAACTGGTTATCTAAATTCAATTTTAGCATTATTAATTGTGGATCGATAATCTCCTGTAACATTTAAAAGGTATAATATATATTTATTTTTTAAAAATACTTTTTTTATTTTAATAACAAAAAGTAATCATTACCATATAAGAAGGTACAACTTGTGAAGTAGGAATTTCTGATAAAACTGTTGGAATATCTTCGTATGTAGAATGAATATTAACTTTTAAGTCTTTTACTGGTTTTTCTGTTTGAGAAGTTCGTAATGCTAATCTTTCTCTATCATAAAAAAAAGGCATAATTTTAAATTTTATTTCATTTTAATTGATTTGATTTCATATTTACCTTGCTAAATGTAATTTCTCAGATGCAATTTTAGTTTCTCTCTGTGCCAATGCTTCAAGCTGTAATTGTAATTGACCGAGCCTTTCCTTATGTTGATCTTCAATTTGACGAGCTTGTTTTAATGCCCTTATTCCTTCATCCTTTTTTTTTAATGCAGACTATATTTGGTAGTATATATATATTAGTAGAAAAATATCTTTTCTTTATCTTATATTTTTGTTCTAATTATTAATTGCAATATCCTTCACCTGTGTTAAGTTTTCAAGTTCTTTGGCACGCAGTATAAGTTCGTTTTCCTTTTCTTGGATCTGTTGCTGTTGTATTTCAAGTTCTCTTATTTTTTCTTGCCATTTCAATCTCTCTTGATTAGCACGGCTATTCGCATTTTGAGCAGTCTTTATAGCAGCTTCCAACTAATAATATGAATAAAATGTAGTCAATATTTTATAATTAAATTTTATTTGACAATTTACCTCCGCCTTTGCCATGTCGTCAGATTTTAATCTATCGAAAACTTCTAGTTTTGCACGTTCTGTTATAACTACTTCTCTTTCTTGTGCAATTGCTCCTAATTGTCTTTCTTGTTCTTTTAACCATGCATCTCTTAAACTCTACAAGCATTATATATTAATAGTTATATATTCATTTAAAAATAATTTAATTATATTTGTTAATATTATACCTCTAAATGTTTACGTTCCCAAATAACTTTCTGTTCAAATAATTCTCTTTCCCTTGTTAATATTTTTTCTTTTGTATTAAGTCTTTCTTCTGCCTCATTATGTTGCAAACTTTGCTTTTCAATATTTGATGTGAATTGTACAAATTTCGATTCAAGTTTTTTCATTGATTCTACAATTTCTTTGCGTTCTTCTTCCAAGATACCTTTTTGTCTTTCTAAACTTTGTCTTTCTGCTATAATTATTTGTAAAAAAAAAGTCGTCAAACAAATATCAATATAGATTTATTTAAATTTAATTTTAAAGCATACCTTCTAAGTATTCTTTTTCCGATTTTAAATATTCTTCTTTTATTTTATCAACTTTTTCATCCTTATCTTTGAATTTTTCGTGTACAGTCTTTATATTGTTGATTAAAATATTAGATTTATGTAACATTTGTTCCATATCAGATTTAAGATTTGTTACAGACGTCACTGCTAAATCTTCTCTTTCTTTAGCTTTTGATATATTTTCAAGAGTTTGTGAATGTTCCTTTTGCAAAAGATTTATATTCATAGTATGCCTTTCACTAATTTCTTCAATAGATTTGTCATGTTCTTTCTAGAAATATATATACATTAATTATTATTTGCATTTTATAATACATAGAATTAAAAGAATTTAATATTACTTTTAAATTTTCTATTTCTTCTTTATACGCCATTTCTATTTGTATTTTTTCTGCTTTTATTTTCTCAATTTGTGATTCATAATCACTTTGTAAAATTTCTATTTCATTACGAAATTTCTTTTCAAGTTTATTGATCGTTTCTTGAAGAAATGTAATCTGCCTTTTGCAAAAACAAAATATCATAAATATATATACATAATCTACATATTTGTAATATCTAATTACAAAATTTATCTAAGATACTTATTTGTATGAATCTTCGTGGATTATTAATTCATATTCATGTCTATCGTTTAAACTTTTCAATGTATTTTCCAGATATAACTTTTCCGATTCTAATTTTTCTATTGATTTTTCAAAAATAATTTTATCTTTTTCTTCTTGCATATCTTCTGTAGTTTGATTCGTTGAAAAATTTATTGGTATTGGCAATGATGTTGGTTGTGCTATCAATGTCTTAAATATCAAGAAAGAAAGAAATATATTTTAATTATTTTTAATAATTATTTATTATTTTTTATGTATCACTTACCTGAATGTAATGATTAATACGTTCTTGCTGTTGTTTCATTTGTGCTTCAAGTAAGATTTGTCTATCCATTTGTTTTTTAATAAGCATGTTAAATTGTTTTTCTTGCTCAGTCAATTTATATTTTTGAGTTTCTATCAGCTTATTTAATTGATCATTTTGATGAGATAAAGTTGCAGCTGTTCTTAGTTCGTGTTCTTGTTGTTGCATAGTCATAATTGTTGCATATTGATCGAATTGTGTACTAATTAGTATTGGTAATTCTTCTTTACGTACAGCTGTATTATTCATGTCACTATTATCTGTCTCTATTGGTTTGTTTATGTTGAAGTTATGTTGTATTTGTGAATTTTCTAAAGGCTGTTTTTGCTGCGTAATATTCTGTTCTGCATTATGCATAGATGGTTGTTCAATTTCCTGTTGTTTTTTACTGTCTAATTTCTTTGTTCCACCTAACCATTCTGGTAGATCTTGATTCGTTGATTTGTTTTTATTCGAGTCTTCAACAGTTTCAGCTGTTTTTGATTTCTATATAATTAAAAAATAATTTATTAATCTGGTGTATGCGTATAATAATAATACTTGAAGGAAGTAGAATTTAAATTAAGATTACCAATTCAGAATTGTATTCACGTTGAGGTGAAGAAAGTAAACCTAAAGGATCATTAATTATACTAGAAGTTTTTCTTCCTCTACGTGATTCTCTAGACACAGAAGTAGTAGGTGCATATCCAAACGTTGTAGATTTAACTGGATTATCTTCTTTGATAATATCTGTTGTATATTCTGTATTTGTTTTTGTACCAATACTGTCAACAGTTTTTTGAGTGCTAATATTCTGTGTAGAAATAGAACGTTGTCTACTTCCAAATAAGTCTTCCATTAATAATGATTTTTGTGATTTATCAGTCGTCGATTTTAACTTATTATGCGTACTAGTTGTAGTACTATCATTAATATAAGAAGTACTCTGCGTTCTTTGTATATTTATTTGCTTTAACGGTTTATTTTCAGGAACAACAGGATCATCTTTTAAATGTAATTGACTATCTTGATTCAATGAACTTTTAACTGGATTAATATTATCTGTACTTGTATCAGTCAATGAAAGTATTGGTTTATCGCTTGATTGTATACTGGATACAGAACTATTTATAGTTTTAATACCAAATAAACTTTCCATTAAAGTACTTTTAGCATTTTGTGTAATAACATTCTTTTGCTGTAATGGTATTTCTTCTTCGTCTGATATTAAATCTGCCAAAGGATCTTCTTTATTATAATCTACAAAAATTTAGGTTTATATTTTCATTATACTTTTAGATTTATTACAAAGTATCCGATATAATTCAAACCTTTAAATAGAACCTTTTTCTTGGTATCCGTATTACTCGCTAATGTAGAATTTTCATTATCTATTCTTGTACGGCTCGGTTTTTTAAATGAGCTTTTAAGCAAGTTATTATCCAGATTCTCAATATCTTCAACTATACGTGCAATTTCTTCCGGATTTATATCCGAATCATCAGAAAGGTCAGCCATCTATAAAATAATATTGAAATTTATTCTTATTGAACAATTAATAATTCATTATTAAAGTATGTATTTATAAAAAAATAATTCTATTTATATTTTAATAACCAATAACAAAGTTTACCTTATAGAAAATAAGTAAAAAAGTATAAAATATATAAAAAATTATTATTCACGAGATGAGAGAACTTTAAATATATTATACAACCTAATATTTAAAATATAATATGTGCACGTGGGATCCATGTTTAATTGTCAGGTAAAGCTGTCGCATACTGACAGTAGCGTTTGTTTACATACACGATCAGCTGTGCGTTACCATAGTTACAAAATTGCAATGGCACTTTCGTACGTTGATTGGTTACTTGTGGGTCACGTGACGTGAGAAGGGAAGCGAATCATTTCGGAAAGCATGACGTGTAATTACATGTTTGCTTGAACAACATACTCCGTTATCAAAGAAAATGGCAGACGTCATATTTTCTCCTCGTGCATATTGTAAAATAATTTTACACGCTGCTAAATACCCACATTGTGCTATCAATGGTTTGTTACTTGCTAGATTAAAAACTAAGAACGATGGAAAATCCTCGGAGTTACGTATTGAGGATGCAATACCGTTATTTCATATTTGTCTTCATGTTTCACCAATGGCGGAAATTGCACTTACTCTTGTAAATATTTTATTATTATTTCTTTATAAATTCTAACAAAAATATTATATTTGTTATCATTTTACTAATAATAACGGTATATGTATGATATACTTTCTAATGCAACTGTCATATTTTGAGGTTATGTTTTTTATGCCATTTGTGTTTCTATTTAATAGATATAAGTGTCAAATTTATTTTTCTAGGTTGATCAGTTAGCTACGAGTAAAGGTCTGATATTGGCTGGTTATTATCTTGCAAACGAAAATATTAATGATTTAAGGTAAATATTGTTTATTTATTATCATTTATATACGCTTATTTTATTTTTTTGTGATATTCATTTTAAGTAAGATTATTTTTGATTACAGTACAGATAGGCCAGCTCATAGAATAGCAGATAAAATAGCAGAAAATTGTAGTGGTGCTTTACTTGTTGTGGTAAGTATAATTATGTTTACATGGAAATATATTAGACCTGGATTTAATTCTTTACTTTTCTACTAGGTAGATAATAAAGAGATGACACTTAATATGACATCAAGTCCGTTACGTATCTCACAGTTTGTGGATGGAAAATGGAAACTCAAAGACAAAGCCAAGTAGTATATTTTCTATCATTAGTTTATAATATTCTAACGTATAAATTTAATTATTTATCAAAAAGGTTACCTTACTTACATTTTTTATAGTATATTCTATGAAGGAGGAGTCGCACCCACAGATGCATTATATACTTTGTTGGAAAATGAACAATATCGTAATCTTGTTGATTTTGATAATCATCTGGACAACATTACTTTAGATTGGCAAAATCATAATCTTAATAAAGTTATAGATGAAACTGTGGAGGAAAATGAATAGAAAAGAAGAAACCAAAGAAGTGTTCTATTGGAAGACTATCATTTTATTTGTACCTTAAACTGCACCACATCTATATCTTATTAAATTTCGATAAAATAACTAATGTACATATGCCATAGAGTTTATAAACAGCTATTTTTTGTTTCTAGATTATGAGATATTCTTTAATCATTCCTTTTCATTAAGAGCTTTGGTTATTATCCCCTTTGGATCATCCATTAAAAGGCAGAACTGAAAAATGGTATTATATAAAAAAATAAAAAAGGTAGAATAATAATGCGAGGGATATAAAGTATTGGTGCCAGGAACAGATTTTTATTCATTGTCTCGTAGCTTCGATATATAATTTTTCTGGTTCATCATCGGATCGGTAATGAAGTTTAGGGACAATAATTTTTATGATTATTAATATATATATATGTCATAATTCGCTTTATGAAACGAGGATGTTTTCGTGAAGATAGAAAAATTGTTCCTTTTTTTTTTTTTTTGTTATCTTTCGAACTTATTACAAACACACCTTTTATTTTTATTCTTTTATTTCCGGATTTAATTTTCTAAAGCTTATAACACGAATCCTATGCACCGCGCATTAAAATAGATTCAGGTACAGAATTTTGTTTTGCAAAAGTTCCATGCGATTTGTCAATTAGAAGAAGCAAAGAAGCTTCAATCTTATTGTTAGTTGTTTAATTTTGTTATTTTCCTGGATTTTTATTCTTTAATCCATGTGGAAAAAATATTACATAATTTTTATATTAAATGTTGTTCTGTGATTCTAAAAGCTACTCGAAGTGTTGTCCGATAATAATAATATAATTATTTATAACATTTGACGATTTCGTTAACGATTATCTTTTGGATCATTGATTTAATCATTGAAATTCTTTTTAATCCGATAGTATACGCGTTTATTTTAATTTTGTGCATTCTAACGATACGTGATTAACAATTTATCATTTTATATAACAAATTTTAAATGCATTTTGTTTATTCCAAGTAAATTATTTATATTCTTGCTCTGTTACATTCCTACATTCATGAAAACGTATGAAAAACGTGTACGCATTCTTAAATTTTTGTTTAGAAATAATGAATTCAAGATTATAAATCGATTAATTTAATTTCGTATGCATATAGGTAAACGATCGAACATAGTATGTGTATGTGTGTTTTTATTTGACGATTAATGTTTGCTAATAATTATTTTCCAAGCTTTCACAAAATTTTATTATCTATTTTCGATGATGCCTGTATAATAATACTTGTTTTTTTTATTTTTTTTTTAATATTTTTTTATTTAATTAACATTAGACAATTCATCATGATTTATATATTATACCGATGAATGATGATATGAAATGTGGTAGTGCGTTTAAATAATACGCATCACAGTTTTATTCGAATGTATCAAAAATACTTGAACTAATGCAATGGTGCATTCGCGTTCATCTATAATGAATATCAATAAACGATTGACTTTGTAAGCTGATCGCATGATCGAAATTCATATATGTATTTGTATGTATCTATATATGTTGATATATACAAGGTGTGTCCCAGAAATTACTTTACTTAATTGAAAAAATTAATAATATTTTCTGATAGAATATTTAATTATTTATTTATAATGATAAATTCGTAGGATTATATTTTTTAAATAAAACTATAGCTGATAATTCATATCTTGTAATACAAAATGAAATATCGTAATTTTATTAGTTGTTATTTTTGAAAAATCTTGTTTGTAAATTAACATTTGGAACACCTTGTATGTACATGTATATATGTATATGTAAAATGTTTTAAAATAACAATCTCGAGCGTATCATTTAATAATTATTAACAAATGCTTACCAAATTCGATTTTTAAATGTAATATTGCCAAGAAATGTCATTTTTACTTTTAAGCGATTCGTTTTATATATCACTTTTTCTTTTTTTTTTTATTTCTTTCACTATTAACGATAGATCTAATAATCGAACTGTGTTTTTTTTTTTATATTACCTCGCACGTTGAGTATAATAGTGAAATTGAATTTTAGGCTTTACATTTTTGTGCATTTCAATGAATGATATGATTTTTTTTGAATATGTTTCGTAGTCGTGCTTGTTTGTAATCGATTTAAAAAATACTAATTTTTTATTCGACTAAAATGTTATTTTTTGTTCAAGTTAACTAGCATGCGTGAAGTTTTTTTTTTTTTTACATTTGTTTCTTTTCAATCATAATCAGCATTTTTCTAAATAACTAAGTTAAATCATAAAATATTGTAATAATTAATTCATTATTTCTATGCGAGTTAAACGAAGAATTATGTTTATATAATCGTAAAAGTTAATAATTACACTATAATAATAATTAACATTTCATATATTCTTTGAATTTATATTTCGTAGAGATTGATAATGACAATGATAGAAGAATAGAATAGAAAAATAAATGCAGTGCATTCGGAAAAATTCCTTTTAACCATCATTAATATTCTCTTTGACGTTTCATTAATTAATAATTACCATCATCATCATCATAATTTTCGATTTATAAAAATAATCGATACCATTTCTCATGATCCCGTACAAATGTTTATTTCAAATTTTCAATCGACCAGCGATTTAATAATAATTTCATTTTATATCATTTTGTTCTTTATAGAAAATTATTCTTCTTTTTCTCCAATTGTGCTTTTAAACTTTGTTATGTTATATTTATATATATATATTTGTTGTCTTACTCTGATCGATTAAGTTTAAAAATAGCCAAAGTGCACGAATTAATTGTTCATAGAGCGTCTAATTAATTGTTATACATAAGTTAATTATAAATGTATGTTGTGAGCCGGGATTAGAAGAGATTACACGAACCTTGTAAAAAAGTAGATTATTGCAATTGAAGAGAATATGTTAATTATTTAGGACGTTCTAAACTGTGTCTTCTTCGAACAAGCGGATTATTCGAAGAGAACTTTTATTTTATTTTATTCTTAATTAATAATACGCTCACGCTTTTTTCTCATTTTCTTATTTACATAGTGAACACTTTTTCTTTGTCAATTTTTTCCCTAACTTGTCCGATTCAAGTTTATCATTTACATACATTTCTACAACGAAACGATCGATAATTATTAATCGGCATCAATTTACTCGTATCAAAATATTACATAGCATCCTTTAAAATATTCCATAATTAATAAAATTGTTTGGTTTCTTTTTCTGATACAACCAATGTCAAAGAAATAATTTTATATAATAAATATTAAATTATTCAGTATTTACTTCAGTTAAGCCGCTTGTCCGCAAAAAAAAAAAAGAATATAGGAATTAGTATTGAACAATTAGATAAATGTGTGTTCGACAGATGATTGAGAAAACCTTTCTCGAGAACGTTATAATGTTTGATTTCGAAGCGATCTCAAGCATTAATATTCTAATTTCTAAATATGTATAAATATACGAGAAGGAAGCTTCTTTTTAATTAATATATTTCTCTGTATGATATGATTTTTTTTTCTTTTTTTTTTTTTTACGCGACAGTAACTAATTACGGAGAGAAATAGTAGATGATTTTTTTCTATTTTTTTGTTTGTTCGTTATTCCTTACTTTTTCATTTTTATGATTTTTTTCGAACCCGCGAGCTTAAAACACACGAAGATTTTATTTATTATTTTTTTTTGCGGTAAGAACGATAGAAAAACGTTCTCGAAAGGCGCACAGAAACATACAATTAATTATTACACTTATTTTCTAATCTATGCGATTTTCTTTTCATTTTTTTTCTTTTTTATTTTGGTTCCTTTAGTGTCATCGTAGCACAGTGAATTGAAATTAATTAAATATTCATAAATATACACTGTGTAATATGATTGCTTGGATAAAAACATTTTTTATATATTACTTTCGCCATAGTTAACCATTTTATTTCTCTTATTAAATTTATTGTTAGCGAATACGCAAGTTTCTATACGAAAACAATAAATATATATATGTATATTTTTAGTGTCATTAAAAAATATATTACAACTAATATAACAACAGTTTTATTTATGTACACAATTTTTTCTTCTATTACTTTATTTAATAAATGATTGTTAACATTAAAAAAGTAGTCAATGTATATTTTCTTCTCATTTATAATCTTTGTTTTTATTCTGAAACTAATCGAGTATGATTCAATCAAAAATTAAGAATTTAAAAAACAAATTCGAACGAGTCTTCGAAACACGCGTGCCAAATTTCTTTCTAACATTTTTCTTCCTACATTGTTCTTTATTTTATATTAATTATTATTTTATAAGTCGTGCCTTGTGAAATATATTTATATATATATATATATTTATTTGCTTGTTCTTCTTATTTCTTTGTCTTCTATTTATATATATAACTATATGTTGTTATCCTTTGAAAATCCTTTTCGTAACAACGTGACACTCGGGCCATGGTGTATAATATGTATTATATTTACATATGTTTTATATATGTATATATCTTTCAGAGTGTCAACAACGATTCGCGATAAACAACGCGATCCCGCTACAAAGCCAACAATTATTTGGACGGTTGCGAACAAAATTTGGTGATGGGATAACATGATAAAAACAACATATCACACTTCGCTTTGATCTTTACAATTAGTTCATCCCATGTCAACGAAATATCCCTTCCCTTCTCTTTCCTCTTTCACCAAGTAATAACTCTGTACATTAATTTTGTTCTTGTCTTTTGTTTTTTTCACAGTACGATAAAAGTGATGGATTTTACAAACGTAGAAAATCGGTCTAAGTTTTTCCTCTTTACTTTATTCTAACAAACAGCCAATTCCATTCAACCCTTTATCCAATTTCTTGATGTATTATCAATCTCATCAATTGTGAACCCGTTAGACCCGTATGATATACAAACTATCCAGTTTTCATAGTATTTCAACCGCGACATGTCATTTTATTCATTGACATCTTATTATAAGGCGACTGATTAACAACCCAATTATTCGAAAGTACAAATTTGAATTCGATTTAGAAGCAGAATAGACGCATAAAATGATCGCTTATCAGTGGATAGTTGTTAGATCTATTTTCAAAAATAGTTATATCTTTCCAAGATCATTCTTGTCAGTCTGACAAATTTAAAACTCGAAGAACAAAATTTAATACAACTTGTCTTACATTTTTCAAGAGAGCTGTACTATTTCTTTTCAAAGATCTTCATCTATATATATATAGTTTCATTCCAAAAGACTGGAAAGGGTGATTGCATTTTGCTGCTACGTCATCGAAGAATGGGCTTCCGATGGTACAGGTAATTGTGGCGTTTGTCTGGAAAGTCGCCTAGACCATCGTTGAGGCGACACAGGTGGTGTTGGCCTTGGTGTGGTTGGTGCTGATCCTGCTGTCAATCTCCAATTACTACTGGATAGTGTAACGGATCTGCCAACAGCAGCTAAATTCGTATTGCTACTACTGCATGCTACGGCAGTTGACAGATCCACCCTTGAAACAGCTCTGTGAAAATGAATTTTGTTATTATCCTTTATTGAATTTATTCATTCATTTTTGTATATTTAATTTTGATATTAAATTTATGTACTACCCCTTATAATAGACAACACATTAATACAAAGCTGTATTACGAAGATGCCTACAACAAGGGGCACTTCAAAAATGTTTTTCCGAGAGATGGCGCTCGCAAGAAATGTTATAATGTATGAAGTGTTGCCTACTTTTAGGCGCGAGACATGCATTATAAACGATCTTTATATACAGTTAAGCACTAGGTAAATGTAAGGAGAAGAGGATATTAAATTACCTGGAAGGAGGTGCAGATCCTGTATAGGAATGTAACCCTGCAGGACCACTCCTTGGCCGACTAGTGGACATAACGCTGGCTGATCTAGGCATGGCTGGCGAGGGTGGTGCGGATGGAAGCATTCTTGGTGTTTGCGGTGGTGTTCTACCAGGCGTTAAATTTCCGGAACTACTGGAAGACGATCGTCTTCTGGAAGTCCTACGTTGAGATTTTGTTTACTTTTAAATACTCTATTTGCGTTGACAACTAAATAAGTTTGAATCAAATGTTCTTTCAAATATTTATACGAGGTATCAAAATAAGTTTGATATTATAAAATAAAATAAAGAATTAAAAGGAATAAGAAATTGGTTACCTTTTGGACGGTTGACGACAAAGTCCAGTAGGACAAGGACGACCCATTGCACACTTGCCTTCGCACACTTCTCGTGCTTGCACCAATGCCTCATAATTTTTAAGGGTTGCTCTGCATGCTTCTGCATCGGTTTCTGCTAACGCGAGACTAGGAAATCTTTCTTTCAATCTTCGTCGTTCCTATGGACAAAATTAAATGTCTACGAGCGTCATATGAATGTATGCTCAATTAATAAGAAGGGACTCATTTTGTGTGGTTTATTTTTGTAACATTATCGATATGATTCTTGGATAAGATTAAAATAGAAACTTTAGCTAGTTCGATTCCTCGTTTAACTAAATAAGAAAACAAAATGAGAAGAGCTTTATATTATTAAATTAGTATAAGAAACCCTGATATTATCGTATATTTCATTTTTAGTGTTTCCTTTTATGTTTTCGTTTCGTAAGAGAAGGTAATTCGTTATTCTTATTGTTATATATGTTTCTTTCCTTTTTTCTCCAATTTAAGAAATATTAAAAAGATTTCGTACTTCCTGAAGACGGCTTGATTCAAAGTCCTCGAGTTGTTGTTGAAAGCCAGCATTTGGATTGGCGATAGAACGTCCTACCCTCACAACCTTAAGTGCCTCCTTCCAGGATAGATTTGTGGTGCTCATAATATAAGCGACTGCGACTGTCACACTTCTCGACATGCCTGCCAGGCTTCAACAAATAATAATATTATATCTTATTTTATTTCCTTTACTAATAGGATCCTTTTTTTTTTTAAACTTTTAATATTTACCAATGTATTAAAACGTTGCCACCGCGCAATCGTGCCGCGTGAATAAAATCATTACATAAAGAAAAATATTGTGAAAGATTTTGATCCGGTCTGTCTGCTGCTAGGATACATAAATAATGTTTATTCTGAAAACAAAATATATAAAATAATTAATTTATTGTTATCTCTGATTATATATATTATATAATACCGAAAGAAGTATAATTTATTGTTGAAACGTACAGAATGTAATCTACGAGCTGTATCGTGAATAGCCAGGATATGAGTTATCTCAAACCTTTCCAGTTGATCTGCGTCCTTACTGTCTTGATAATTACCAACATAAAGGCCTGGAAGTACCTGTGAATATATATATTACAATAACTACTTAAAATGTGGTGAATATTTTATAGAAATTAATGATCGTACTCGTTAGATGATATTTGTTTCTGAAAGACCAACACACTCGTCGTTTAACGATTTTGCAAATCACAAGAATATTTCTATGAAAATTGTTGTTATCATCGTCATAGTTTGCGTGACACGTCAAATTTTATATACATATATTATCAAGAAATTTTAAAAAGGTTTGGACATTATCGTAAGAATATTAATAAAAGAGAAAATAATTTTGTAAATTAGAAAAAAAAAGTTCGTTGACCTAATTTCAAGTTATTCATTTCTCGCGGTCAAGAGTTAGTTTTTAGATACTTGTCAAGATTTTGCCAAGAAAACTTTATCAATTAACCCTCACACGCGACGAATAAATCAAATATTGAAGAAAATAATGAATAGGTTTTGATTTTTAATGTGTCAGATATTTTTATCATATGATTCGAATAAAATAAATGAGTATTATCAAGTTTTTGTACTTTATATTAGAAATAAAATTAGATTGATCGTTTGTAGTGACACGTGATGGTTAAAAAAAAACAAAATGAGTACAATGCGGAATTTATTTTAAAAAGTTTCAGTAATATAAATATAAATTATTATATTTCAACGATTCTTAAAAGAAAGACAAAATATGTAAATTTATTTTCTTTAAAATGTATTTTTACGAAGTATTACCATTTTACTAGATAATTCAAAGGAATTAAACGGATACCAATTTATCTTATTAATATTCAATCTTCATTTTTATCTTTTAATAAATCAAATAAAAAGCATTTTATTTCTTATCCTTGTTTTAATTGAACAATAAAATGAAATAAAAATATGTAAAGACATGTTTAAAGTTGAATAATCAAACTGAACATTATGAAAAATTTGTTTAAAATGATTATAACAAATACATAACCATAACAATAATTTTATCGAATCGAACTGATGTTTGTTTGCGTGTTTTTTCATGTAATAAAAAAGTTCAAGATCAAACAAGTATTGCGTTAGACTGGAAGTTTGCCAGAAGGATTCCTTAGCTTACACAATACTAATACATAGTATATAGTATATATATTATGTGAACTCGTAGCTTAACTTTTGTGCACGATAGATCAACATATTTTCGCTAACTGTGTCAAAGAAATTTCAGGGTTACGGTAAAAGGACATGCCGCCAGACCAATGTCGAAATTCATCACTACGAATAAGCCAAAAAAATAAAATAAAAACATTCAAATAAATTGGCAATCATTCAGAATATTTTGATGAAGAACATAGAAACCATTTATTTGGCTATTATTGATCATTCGTATATTATATAATTTTGTATTTTATTTTGACGATTTTTATTTTATTTCTTCCTTTACAAGAACCACACGCGTTACTTGGTTGACCACAATCGTTTTTTATTCTTTTGCTTTGTTTTGTTTTGTTTTGTTTTATTTATTGATTAGATCGTTGACCCGTTTTACGTTAGTGTCCTCGATTATTTTACAATGCATATCGCGTTGAACATTTACCGCCCAAGGATATTGTATGGCTGTGACACGTAATTCCGCATCATTTCCCTTCATGCCTTACGGCTGATTGCTCTACTTGTTGAACGGGGTAGTCAGATTATTACAATTATTACAATCCAACTTTAACCCCCTTCCTCGATTTATTTTTATTTTATTTTTATTTTTTTTTTTTTCATATCTATCTTTGATTAATTCTATATTGTATTGTATGGTTAACCCATTACTCGAAACAGTACAAAAATGCAACAAAAGAATAAAAATTAAATTAACTGTATAATATATTTTTATTTTTACTATAATTAATTTTAGATTACTATAATACTATTTTAGTATAATATTAATAGTAATATTAAGTATTATAGTACATACTATTAACTATAATAATCATACTAACCAAATAGAATTATTTTTGCAACAATTGTGATACATTTTTTTAATTTAAAAATAACAACATTATATTATATAAGTAATTATTAATTTAAAATAAAATACGTGAGAATTTGTAATTATCTTTTGTAATCAATTACTATGACTCATTTACTTTCTACTTTCTTTCCTAGAATGTTTCTGAATAAAGTAGTGTACTTGTAATATATGTACATATGTATATATATATATATATATATATATGTCCGGTGTTTGAAAAGCACTAGCTTGAGTGTCACTCTATTGATTTGCATTTCTTTTCAGTAAACCAACCGCAGAAGGTACCTGGCTAATATACTAATTATCTCGCTTAACTGAAGCTAATGAAAAGGAAAGAGCTTTTTATCTCTAAGCACCTATACTTTAAAGTACAAATACTTTTGATCTTTTAACTTCCTTGTATATATACATATATATATATTTATATACCTAAGTATACTTAGATACTTAATATTTTATCTCTTCACAAAATTTAGAATTCTTTATTTCATTGTTTTTTATCTATACTTTAATTTTCTATTTTATCTTTTAATCAAAATAACAATTATAACTTTTATTTAAATAATATCAATGATTTATTTTGAATTACAATTGTTTGTATTTAATAAATAAATTATCGAATTTATATTTATTCATATTTCACATATGAATATTTAATTATTATAAATATATGTATTTGTATTATTAATTTTATGTTTTAACAAAACTAATGTAGAATTTAATTTTGTGATCGTACCTTATGCATATTTGAATATTATAAATATGTATGTATTTGTATTATTAATTTTATTTTTTAACAAAGAACAAACAAAACTAATGTAGAATTAAATTTTGTGATCGTACCTTGTTCATCCCATTCCCCATGTTTGGATTTAGGATCTTCTTTGCTGTTATAATTCCAAAATACAAAACCTAAACGTATCACACAAAAGAATTTGTTCTATTCTTTTTTAATCATAAGTGTCTCTTTTTCTTCAGGACTAGTTTCCTCCACCTCCACTTCTTCCACTTCCGAAAAAGAAGAAGAAAAAGAAGAAGAAGAAGAAGAAGAAGGAGTCTTCAGCCTCTTAAACTCTCTCTCCAACGATCCGATTTGATCCTCGTTATCGTGAAGATCGCATTGTTTCTGAAGCACTATTCTCAACCAACACATATCACCACCAACAAACACATTACCTACGTGCATATATTCTTATCTCAAATTGTACTATACTTGATTTTTCTTATTCTTACATTAATCTTTTTTTTTTATTTTTTTTTTCAAAATGTTATAATTAAATTTTTAAATGTTTTAATTTAATATTTAAATAATATCGAAAGTATATAATACGATCAATTCCAGTCATAATTTTTGTATAATTTTTTTCAACAGTTCTCAAATGATTCATCATGAGTTTATTTTTTAATTCTCTCTCTCTCTCTCTCTCTTTTTATTTTTATATCCTCCTCTTCAAATTTTGTTTCTTCAAAACGACGAAAGTTGATTGCAATTTTATTTTTTTTTTTTTTTTAAATCGACCGATCTGCGTTAGAATAAAAATTTCAAATTTCAAGTAAAAAGAAAAAAATAAGAAAAAAAAAATGAAAAAAAGGCCCTAGATAAAACTCAGATAAATAGAAAGAAAGAAAAGAAATTCATTTACTGACTTGGTAGTTGGAAATGTTCGTAGTTTTCAGAATTTTTCTTTTGTATATTTGTCCCCCTTCACCCACATTACCACCACCACCACCACCAACACCACCAGCACCACCTTCACCACCACCTTCACTACCACCTCTTTTTTCTTCTCTTCTTTTTTCCTTTCTTTTCCTCTTCTCACACCCTCGTCTTCTGGCTATCTTCTACTCTCCAAATGGGTTTCTTTTTTTATTTTTTTTTCAACGAGCGGGCATGATTAAAGGCAGAGCCGTTCCCTTTTCACCACCCCGTCCGTCTGCTTTTCCCTTTGCCAGAGATGAATGAAAAGTAAGCCAAAGTTGGATAAAAAAGAGAAAGAGGGAAAAAAGATAAGGGATGGAAAGGAAAAAGAAATAAAAAAAAAACTATCAAGAGAAACGAAACGTTTAGATGATCTAAAAATATACCTTTTAATGAGAATGAATTTTTTTTTTTTTTTTAAGGAATAGGAAAGAAAGATTTATATATAATATAAATAAATAAATAAATAAATAAATAAATATATATATATATATATACTATTTTAATTATATTATATAATTATACTACAAATAATATAATTACTTTACGTATAATACTATACTATAGTAAGTAATTATATTATTTATAGTAAAATTATATATAGTATAATTATAATATAGCATAATTAAATAAGTAATTATACTATATATTTTATACTTATATAATTACACTATATAATTATACTATATAATTATAATATAGTATAATAAATATAAGTAATTATACTATAAATAATATAATTATATTATATATATATATAAAGAAAGTAATTTACGAGATATTAATATTTTTCTTTTATTATTTATTTCCAATTTTTTTAGTCAAAACGAAATAAAATTTCTACGTAATCAATTAATATTTATTTTATTATTCGATTGAACTTGGAAATAATATTATTACATTTTTAATTTAATTTATTTTTCTTTTAATCCTTTTTTTATCATGCAAAACATAATGGAGGATCGATAATATCGATCGGTTTTTATCGCGTTTACCCTCTTCTTCTTGTTTCCCTCTTTAACAAACCCGTGAGAGTATTTAGCCTTTTTGTGTAAATATAAATCTACAAAAGTAGTTCTTCCCAAGGGAAGTAAATACTTATTCACAATTATCAAGGGATTTTAAAGAGACTATAAGATGAAAGTAATAATAATAATAATAATAATAATAATAATAATAATAATAATAATAAAGTTGATTGTAAACGTTTGACATGCAGAAATAAAATATTAAGAGGATCAAAGAGATAATAATAAGATTAATAAGACAATAAGTAGATAAATGTTTTAATCTTATTTTCCCCTATGAGAATCAACGAAGAAAATATTAAATGAAAGATTGAAAGAAGGAAAATAATGAAAAATAAAATTAACCAAAAAGAAAATATGAAAAATATGAAGGAGTTTCATTTAAACTCGTCATGCTGCAATAATATCGATTGCAGTCAAATCGATAAAATAAATTACGCGGCATTGACGACAGACGATTTACTTGGAAACGTGCCAACCTACTTTAATTTAGCGAGATATCTTTTTTTTTATTATATATATATATATATAGATATTATATGACGAATGTTCACAAACACATATATGTATATATACATTGATCATGGATATTAGAAAAATTTGTCGAACTTAGAATTCATATTAACGATAGATATCTTTAGAAACTGTATTAAAAGGTTGAGACATTGCAGACATTGACGATGCTTTCTATAAACTTTCTTAAGTTACCAGAATAGGAAACCTGACTTTTTTTCATCAATTCATTTCCATTTACGAACTCATTTCTGTCTACATTTATATTTATATCTATATATATCGAGTTATCTGAAAAGTTAACATGTGTACTTATATGTATGTAGAATTAACTGAAAAATGATATACACTCCTCATATGTACGCCAAGTGATCTAAAAATGTAGACTATTTCAAATGAAATTCAACGATAATATTTTTAAATAATTATTTAACATTTTTGTAACTAAAATATCTATAAAAAAAAAAGAGAGAGAGAAAAAAATATGTATTATATATGGAAAACATTCTAATTTTAATATTTAAAAATATAATATAGATATTTATATATAATAAATTTTTTAAATTGGTACAAACATTTTGGGTAATCCAATATTATATATAAAAATAAAACTGATATATATTTTATATAAAATATATATTATTATTATATATATATTAAAATATACAAAATATATATATATATAATATAATAACTAATATAATAAAATAATATATATATAAAATAAAATATATATTAATTTTATTATTATATTATTTTAGTTTATTTTATATAATTTTTGTTTTATATTTTTTATTGTAGTTTTATTTTATTATATTATTATATATAAAACTTATAGATAAAAAACTATAGCAAATGTGCATGCATAGGTATTACTATGATTCATAATATGTATCATTGATTTTTATGCATTTATCATGAATGAGAAAACATTTTTTTCTATCGTATCTTTAATAATATTTTTCTTATTTTTATTATTTTATTTTTAATCCGTAACATTAATTAAGAAATATAAAAAGTTAATTGTAATTTAATTAAAAAAATTGTTTGTGCGGTTGTAGAAAATGCAATAAACGTTGAGGACTTTTCAATGATGCTTTAAATCGATTTTTAATTTAGCGTGTACAATGAAAGAAAAAATTTGATTGATTCTATATAAATAGAAAAATAAAATTAAAATAATAGATGATGGTTAAAACCATGAGATATATTTATAACAAATCTTAACGTGTTCGATACCAAATAAAATTAATTATGAGACCTTAATGTGAAAACCGCAGCGTGAGATGACTCAAACTTTTATAGGACAGCATACACAAGTGGTTACACATTTAATTCTCGTACAGTGATATCGTTTTCATTAACTGAAAATTTCAATTTCACCTTTTACTTTGTTTTTTTTTTTTTCTTTCTTCATGAAAACGTAACTGGAGTGAATAATTCAAATTTAACGAAGATATATCAGCATTCATAAAAATTTTTTTTTCTTCTATTTTTACAGACGTTCACGATTACATAGACAGTAAAAAATAAACTTAATGGTGCTAATAATCCAACATATATATCCGGTGTCTCTTTAAAGAGACAAAAAAAAGTGACAAAGTCGCGTGCAAACAATTAAACAGTTTAAAGGATTGAAAACAAAATCAGTAAACATTATAATGATTTGTGAAATATGTTTAATAATTGCATTTCTATTTATCCTGATCGAAATATCAATGTTTTTATTAATAATTTAATGACAAACATACAATACGAATGAAATAGTTCAGTGTCAGTTTATTAGTAGCGTGATAATCAGTAGTTACCGTCTCTAGTGTCAGTTCTAATATACCTCTGACAATCGTATATTGTGGTGATAATCAAGCGTTACTATGTACAACGTGCTAATAATCAGTGATAACGATACACACTTTAATCATGACGATTTAACATACATAACAACAACATCCCCATTGGATATTCGACGATACGTTTAACAAAACTGAACTATAAATATAAAAATATTTTTAATTATTTTCAAATTAATTTTTATTTCAAATAAATAAATTTCAAGGAACAATTTTTAATTCATCCGATTTCTTCAAACAGATTTCACACGCCATTATTTTATTTTATCTCTCAAGTAGAATCCTTGTTCCTTGTCAAGATAATGAAAAACATGACGGGTATCATTTCCCTTATCGATAAGCTTGAAGTATTTTAATAAAGATCATCCCACTGACGTGTGATACGATGTGGTTAATGTTGAAGATAACAAAAAATATAACAGAGAGATGAATTCTATCACAAATATACAGGTGCACAAAATCATGCTTTCCTTTTTTTTTTTTTTTTGAAGTAAAAAGTACAGGAAAAACAAATTAAAAATAGGACAAAAAATAAAAGTAAGAGTGTTCTTCATGAAATGTTTGGTATTCACCAATCCATAAGAATTTCTTTCCCAGTTATATAGTTAGTGTAAGGATCATCCTTTAAAATCACATCTTGTCACGATAACGAAACACACGATTCCTGTCACTAATCGAAGTTGGACGTTTAAAAATATTTTTCCTTGTTTGCTTAGTTTGACTTGTAACTTTGTTCCTTTGATCGTAGTCGGCTGCTGTGTGTGGCTTTGATGAAAGGGCGCGTCGTGCGAAAACTGTCCCGTTCACCACCGTATGAGGAAGGAGTGTTGCGAGGATACAGGGACACTGTCAGGGTGGGAGCACAAGACGTCTGCGAATGTACGTGAAAATCAGTAGAAGGGGAAACATCAAACCGTGAAGGGGCAACGGTAAGGGCCACGTGGTGGGGAGAGAAAGATGAGGATGAGAAAGAGAAGGTAACGAAAAACGAATTCACATTTTATCCACGTCCTTTCTAATTTACCTTGAACGAGTCAAAAGAAATAAAACAAATTCGAATAAAAACGATTGTGTCCTAGGATATTCTGATCGGAATATTCAATATGAAAGTTAGCAAATATTCTTTAATATCAAATAAATCATTCTCAAAGGATTATAGATAAGAATATTAATATTCCAACAAAAAGATTTCTTTAACAATTTTAATAAACTTGACCAAGTAGGATATGAATTTATGTAAAATAAAAGAGGAGACGGTTTGATCAAAGGAAAGTACTAACAAAATGAAGATTTAACGAGAATCCTAGAACGAATAAAATGATTATGATATAATATCTCTTAGATGGAAAATAGGAAAACTTATTAAGGTAGGTACAGGTCGGGAAGAATGTTCATGTTGTGTCGGAGTTTGGTCTGTATCTTCGGTGGTTATGTGGTAGGTCGGAAAGCCGTGGATCGGCATACCGAACAGGTGGGGAGAGAGGCTAGGGGGTTGTGTATAACGTGAGAAGAAACGTAGGGGTGGAGCGCTCGAGGACGGGACGAACTATCCAACGTACATCGTTGTAGCTCGGGTTGCCCTCGCGCAGGCGCCGCTCGATAAAGAACTATCCCCACCTTTACACAAATCCTCCACTACACTACCACCATTACCACCCTCAATACCTAACCGTCGTCCTCGTCGTCATCGTCATCTTCTATCCTACCCCCGACCCTGCCCCACAAACCGTAAATCTGGTCTACTAGGGCCAGTCGACGAATACAGTTAACTGGGCTACGTTCGTTCGAGTAATGGAATGCTGATATAAAATGGGACGGTCGCTATACTCCAGCAAACCTCTGAATGAATCTTCGCTACATCCTCTTTTACTCGGTTTCTCTTTTTCTCTTTTATTTTATATTTATTTATTCTTTTCTTCCTTTTTCCTTTTTCCTTTATAATCTGTACGATTATTTGTATGCTTTTATTTCTTATACTTTTTATAATATATTTGCTAGTTGGTAAGGTAATGGCGGAACAAATGGATTTCTCTTTTTTGTATTTCTTCATTTCTATACATTTTCAGATGAATTCTTATCGATGAAAAGCGTCCTTTAAGAGAATATATATATATATATACATTTGTCGGTTGGATATTCGTTTAATCTTTTGACGGACTGACTCTTCTTTCTAATCGTAGATGAATTCCTAGAAACGAACAAAAAGATCGTTTGATTCAAAGCGGCATAAATATTTCTCTTACGCTTCTCTCTACGGTGAAAGCGATGCAATAGGTATATATACATTTATATATATGTAGGTGTATGAAATTCGTTGAGAGGCAGAGAATACTCTCATAAAAGTGCATTTCTTTTCTTCTTTCTTTCTTTCTTTCCTTTTCTCTCTCTTCCTCTTTTAATTTTTTTTTTCACTTCCTCTACTCTTCCTTCCTCTTACTCTTCTTCCTCTACTTCTATCAGCTAGCACTAGAAGCACGGAGACCCACTTTACTGTGCTAAAACAAGCGCCTCTTCATATGCTTCTAAACTCGTTCCCTCTTTCTTTAACTCATTTTCACTCTGTCACTCTTTTAAAACTCAGTCACTCCTCGTGCTTCTTTTTCTTTTTTTTCTGTGCATTTCATCCACAAAAAGACCGTGTCTGTTCTATTAGATTTTAAGAATTACGTGACCGCATCCGTACGTAACAACAAACCTATGATTATTATTCTTACGTTATTATCCCTAACCGATCTTTAATAAAATAACATATTTTATTTACACGAATTTATGATCAAGTTAATCATATTCATTATAAAAAAACCAATCAATGTCAATGATACATTACGAATAAAACCAAGATATTATACAATCTTCGTAATCCACGGATACATTGTTATAGCTTTAAGTTAGAAAAAAAAACGATCAATATTATTGACGATAATTTAAATAAAAGAAAAAAATTACCAAGAGATCATTCCATCCATTATAATCAACATTATAAATAACTTTAATTTACAAACTAACATTTACGAAGGTAACATTAACGTGGTAGGTTTTCAGTTGATCGTTCAATATGCGTCATGATAAACAAGTTTCGAGGAGGCGTGACAGAATTCGTAAAAATATCTACGAATGTGCATTTACTAATACATATTACCAACCCGGCATTCTTATGCTAATAATGTTAGAAGAGAAGGTAACACAATAAATGATCAAGGCAAGATCAATTCTTCTTTTTAATTCGTTTATAGAATATAAAGACTAATAAGCTCAACCACGCACGCTTTTCGATGACTATTCTTTATTCCATCTTTTATCTTCTTCTTCTTCCTCCTCCTCGTTCGTCCCTCTACCACCCACCTTATTTATGTTTCCTCTCATAATACCTTCATTATTGTCTCTTGGCACGTGAGACAAAATCATCCTGGATGGACGGATGCACCACCGTTCTGATAGGCGAGCTGTCCCTTGTGTATTTGTGCGTGAACGCGTAACGGGTTACGCAAATCCTACGATGATGATGGCATTTTGCCGCAGGGGAATTTAATGGTCTTTTCTCTTTATTTTTTTCATTTTTTTTTCCCTATATCGTATAGGGTCAACACGTTCAACGAGCGACCCAGACATAGTAATGAAATAATTTCTAAGTGAAATAATATGTTTTTCTATTTAAATTACTTTTTATATTATATTTTTATATAAATGTGTATATTAGATACAATTTAGATTATTTTTTATTATATACGATCAATATGTTTTACTGAATTTTATAATATAATTATTGTGGTGTATTTTATTGAATGCAATTGAAATTATTAAATCAAATAAAATATTCTGTTAATAATTAAATGTAAAGGTGTATTATGTGTGCACTATTTGTGCACATTTACGTAAGAAAAAAAATCTGTAAAAAGAAAAAGAAGAAGAATATATTACATTTAAACGACTTAGGTATACCTGAGTAACAATCTGAGTCACCAATTCTCGTTGTTCCTCTTACAAAAAGATCGGCTGGAAAAATGCCGGTTGTAAATTATTGCTGTTTGAGCTTCCGCTGTTGGCTGGTAGAGTCTTCTTCTTTGGTTGGTGTGTAGCAAATAAGAATCAAGCCGAGGATTACCAAGGATGCACCAGACCACCAAGTTAAGGAGGTCGATTCATCGAATATCAGAAAACCGAGAAAAGCCTAGGGAAATTAAAAGAAAATATTTGAAATAGTGAATAAGTAAAGATGATACCCAAAAGGAAACTTTTAAGTATTAATAATCGTAAGTTTAATTTTTTCATTTTTTCTAATTAATGCCTGAATATTTCCGGTTTTGCTTATGTGACTTATAACGTGCAACTTTGTAATCGTCTATTAATAATCTAAATTTTTATTTTGTATTTATTTTTTTGCGTATCTTGATATTGTTTATATTTGATGATTATGAAAAGGTATGCGAGAAATTGATTATCGAATATTTCCGGGTGTGTGTGTGTGTTATATACCCAATGTGTAGCTTTGTAATCGCCTAACGCATATTCCGCATGCCGTTATTATGCAACAGGCAACTCGTCGACGCTTCACGTGAGCATCGTTTTCAAAGAGAGTTTAACGAGTTATGTACAACATGTCTCTCAATCGAGAATTACGAGGTGTACTTCGTACTCGCGTAGAAGTATCGTTGTATTATCAGATCTACGGTAATTGCTACGAACGCATTATACCGACTCTCTCGTAGAGATCGGTAATACCTATGTCTACCTTGTGGAACACCTTTCACTATTGCCTGCTAGCTACTTCTGGGAAAACATATTGGCAAACGACGCCCTAATGTAAGCCCAATGAATTCATTCGAACAAACTAATACATTGAATAGTGATATACAGCGTGCAGGAGTTAGCGCGATACGGTTCAGTGATTAGTATTTCATAATTTTCTAATGTTTAATGTAGTAACGGTGAATTAAAATTTAGTCTCGTATAGGAAACGGTTAATGAAATAAATAAAATACAAAAGAAGCCATTATAAGATAATTAGAATTTTTTTGTTATACTATAGTTCCTTATCGATACATACTTTTTTATAATTAAAGATAATCTTGTTTGAGTATGGATAGAAGAAATTGTGCATATATCGCTTAGTTTTAAACGAGATTTGATTTCAAAGTAAAATTCGTAGTTTGAATGTGAGGAGGATTGAGGTGAGTTTTTTTTATTCGAAGAGTACCTAATGAAATCGTTAGTATATACGAATGGAAAGCACTAGTCGAGGGTAGAACGTGTAAAAAATCAAAGAGCCTTTAAGAGAGGCTCGTGAGACTCTACTCGATGTACAGATAAGTGAGCGATGGTATTGATAGTACGTTTACCGTTATCGACGGAAATATAAAAAAGAGAGAAGGGAAGTAAGTATGCTATTGCAGAGGAATTAGTGCTAATGGAATTTAAAGAATTTCATTTTATCTTATTAGTTAGAATACTTTCGCAAAGGAAATACTTTATTAGTGTGCAACGTTGTCTGATTATATTCGCGTTAAGTTCTCAAACGTAAACAGCAAATAAATTGGTTACTCACCGAACAAACATAATTCGTCGCTGTGCTGGCAACGGTAGCAGGTAAAGAAGATTCACTTCCGTTCAGAGCTTTTACGAATAATGTGCAGCCTATTGTGTTACTAACGACCATGAGCACGAGGAGACTTGTTTTTAACAGCAGCGGTATCTTTTATCAGACAAATTTTCTATTTATTCATTTAATTTAATTTAATTTTATTTTATTTTTAACTTAACTTAATCTATAATATTCGCATAATTAATTAGAATTTAATAACGCGTTAATTGAAAAAATATATATGCTTAAAAAATATGTATTAATAATAAGTATTTTTATTTAACGTATTCAAATTTCGCGCTACTAACCAAGAAATCGAACTCAGCGCCACCAGACAGCTTACCGAACAAGCTGCCGCAGGTAGCAAAAATTCCAGCGCACACAGCCAGGTGAATTTTTGTTTTTCCTTGATTAATGATTTTCGTTGATAACTTAGTATCTTCTTCTTCTTTTTCTTTTTTTATCGATGCCATGATGCTAAAGAAATAAAAAATCTTTTAATACTAATGAAATATAAATTATAAATACCGTGAATTTTTAACTCACTCGATCGAATAAAATTCAGACTATTCGTCTTGTTATTGAGTAATTTAAAGGAAATTAAATTGAAAAATGAATTATACTTTACAACATTAATTAACGTTTAAACTTTTAATTAATTAATATAAAAGAGTGTAAAAAGTATAAAAAATTACCTCAATTTAAAGAACAAATGAACAGTAAAGTTGCCGCTCGGACGATTCGATATCTTATCAATGAATATATTAAAATCTCTATCTAATTAAACTATACGAATAAATATCGGAATATTCTAAAAACAAGTAAGATATATAAATAAATATACGCGTTGAAATGATTCATTAGAAAGTAATAAAGTTATTTCTTACCTCCCCTCCTCCAATAGTTAAATTTCTAAGATAGAAAATAATATAATTCGTGGATAGTTTCACGGCTAGTTCGCGTATTGATAAGCGCGCCGAATTTAAAATAAAGAAAGTGTAAGAAATAAATCGAGTGAAGGGTGGCGCGCGAACTAAAGTCTACAGGTAGTTTAAAAATGGCGGCGGACAGGTAAAACGTAACTCGAGCGAGTGGAGAGATTATAAATGCGAACTGTCACCAACGAAAGATAATAAATAACAATAAGAAGATAACCTTATTGTGAATGAAAAAACAAAACGGAATAATCACTAAAGTGTATTCATTAATAAATTAAACTTATTATATTATTGTTATCACTATTATATCCTGTGATAGTCTCTTTATCTATTTTCCTTTTGCCAGCGTGGAATTTCTAAAATTTCTTCAACTCGTTATAAAATAAAAATAAAAAGAGTAAAGTGTTGATAGTGGTCATGATGATAATAATATATTTTCACCGGTCAAAAAGCCACCGAGCTTTCCTCGTCGTGTGATATCGAACGTAGTTAGTAGCTTGGTGGCTGCACGAAAGAGTAACAAAAAAGGAAGTGGTGGAGACAGAGGAGGAGGAAGAGGAGGTGGAAGAGGTAGCGGTGGAGGAAGAGGAAGAGGAGGAGGAGGAGGAGAAAAGTCCCCTTTGAGTTGCCGTGTGCATGCAGGTGCGTAAAGGTAAACCGGCCCATCGTCTACGTCGTCTACGTTGAGTATGTTGAGCCGATGCATATACACGTTTCTTTTTCCTTTTTTTTTTTAATTGACCTTCGTTTATTCACGACAGTCAATGATTGAAAATACGATTTTTCATGACTGTCTAAAATTTTATGATGACAAACATAAACGAATTTATTTAATTTTTCGGTCCCAACTGACCTACTACAATTTTTTCTTTCATTCTAATATACTTTCTTTTTTTTTTTAATTAAAAGAAATCATCAACTAACTTTTTAAAATTTCCTTTTCTGTACAAAGAAATTAAACGTTCCAATTTTGATTGTACATGTATTTCTACCTGTTATGTGAGATTAACTCTTTATCGTTCACACATTCGTTCGCCAGTTTTCATTTTCTCTAATGAGATAAGAGACTCAATTATTCAACTCTCTTGTTATTCCACTTCAGATTCTGTTAGGTGATTATTTTTCTCCCTTTTATTTGTATTATATTTTATATCAGTACATATGTTATTTCTAATTTAATTTTCATATATGGTATGGTTTTTTTGGTTGAAAATTTTAATGTAAGGAATTATTTATATAATTTTTTTTTTGTAGTTAAATTCTATAACACTTTAAATATCTTTCATAAAAGATTTATTTTTAACGTTATTTGAATAGTAATGAAAATTTAAATATTCTATGATAGCTTTTTGTTTATCTGATTTTAAAATTTTCATTCTAACACTTGAGTCTATTTATTTAAAACATTATTATAAAGTTGTCAAATAGAATGTATATATTAGCATATTATTTTGCAAGAATAATTAACATGTTATGTATATTGTGATTACCTTTTCCATATGTCATAACACTTTCTTTTATATATAATATCATTTTTAATAATATAAAGAAATTCAACTTTATGCTTCATTAATTTGTTGTTAATTGAATATTTTTTTATCTTTGTTTGACTGATATGATATTTGTTGGAAATATATCCTCTTTATAATTTCGCACAGAAAACCATACAGATATCAAATTATTTCCACTCGTTCAGAGAGATATTTTTGTATGTGTGCTGAAACATTTGTACAAATATACGTTTTATCTGACTAAGTAATTGATAAGTTTACTCTGGCACCAGACTGAAATATATAACGAATTCTTTAACAGTTAATCAAAAATATTACATTGTTCGTATATTATTAAAACAATTAATTCTCTGTATTATTTGAAAATGATGATTAGTACTTATTGGAAAATTTTCAAGTATTTTAAAATGAAATCGTTGTGGTATAAACGTAATGGTAAATTTAAATAGTAACTATAATGAACATTTACTCAAAATAAATAACTAATAATTATTATACAAGTTATTATTGTATATGGTTTTAAAAACAATGAAATATGTTTGTTTAGCAGGAAAGTACAGCTGTAAGAACTACAAACACATAACAATGGAACACGCTGATTTAGTAGCGGATATGGTTCGCGTTGAAAGACTAACTACACAAGAACGACTACACCTTGCACGACATAGAAGACTTCAGCAATTAAAAGTGTGGCGTCAGCGTGAAAAAGAATGGCTTCGACATCAAACAAGGCATACAAGCAACAAACGTCATATATATTTTAGTGATAGTGTCATGTTACTAGAAGCTGCTGCAAGAAATGATATAGATGAAGGTAACAATAATAGTGTGTATAGAATGAAATTGCAGTATTACATTATATTTATTTTCTATTATGTTTAGATTTTGTGAATTAATACTAAATGTATTTTTAGTTAGAAGACTGTTAAAAAAGGGAGTCAATCCTGATTCAACTAATGAAGACGGCTTAACTGCATTGCATCAATGCTGTATAGATGACAATGAAGAAATGATGAAGTTACTCGTTGAATTTGGTGCTAATGTGAATGCTGAAGATAGCGAAAAGTGGACTCCATTACATGCTGCTGCTACTTGCGGTCATTTACATCTTGTAAGATATTTAATAGCTAGAGGTGCAAATTTACTGGCTGTTAACGCTGATGGAAATATGCCTTATGACATTTGTGAGGATGAAAAAACATTAGATTGTATAGAAGGTTGGTTTCCTATTTTTATGGTTAATTAGAATAATATATCTTTTTTACTTTTTACATTAATTCGAATTTTCATTGTAGGTGAAATGGCTAGACGAGGCGTTACACAGGAATTAATAGATGAAACTAGAGCATCAACAGAAGTTCAAATGTTAAAAGATTTGCAAAAAATTGTTACCATGGGTGGAGATCTTGAATATAAGGATCATCAAGGCGCTACACCTGTACGTTTAAGAGAGCTTACCTATTAATAAAATTTTATATTATTGAATATATATTTTATGATATAATATTTATAGCTTCACATAGCATCAGCAAATGGTTATTTAAGGGTAGTCGAATATCTTCTTGATCAACATATTTCTACGGATATAGAAGACAATGATAAATGGCAACCTGTTCATGCAGCAGCATGTTGGGGTCATGTACGTAATCATATTACTATTCTGTATTTAAAATATATTCGAATTGTTAAAAACCAATATTAAAATATTGCAGTTAGAAGTTCTAGAGCTGTTGGTACAAAATGGGGCCGATTTAAATGCACGAAATAAACATGATGAAACACCTGCTGGTAAAGACTTATTTTCAAAATAATTAGAAGAAATAATATTTTTATCTACTTTGAATAGCTGTGATGATAACATAAATAATGAACTATAGATATTTGTGAGGACCCTGAAATTAGAGAACGCATAGTTGAACTTAAAACGGAACAAGAAAGTAAACGACTGCGAGAAGCACAAGGAAGACGGGTACGAAGATCGCAAAGTATAAATACACGTACTCAAAGTGTACGACGAACATCAATCAGAGATAAAGTTCTTACAACAAAGAAGGATGCACAAGAAGAAGCAAGACTGAGGTTACAAGCACAACAGGTAAAATGATTTCATTAATTAATGAATATATATTATAGTAAATCTTTAATTAGAAAGTACCAAATTTTAATTTGATTTATTTTAGACGTATGTTAGTATTCCAACTCCTAATCTTCCACAAACAGAAAACAGCACAAATACGCAAGACATGGTAAATAATGAAACTGATTCAAGTACATTGACCCCTGCTGTACGTAAGGGACCTGAAGGAAAGGACAATGATTCCTTTCTGCATGAAGATGTTGATAAAGATTCAGGTACATTCCAATTCTTTTTATGCTTGTGTATTGGTTGTGGTTTTGTAGAACACTGTGTAAATGGTAGCTTTATCCCAAAAATCATAAAATTGAACATTTTATTTTATACCATGATATTAATATTCACACATAACTATAATTTTGTATAATATACAAAGTAAGATTATGTTATGTATGTATATTAAGAAATATTGCATCTCTCTCTTTCTCCTTCTGATTATTTCAGTCAATGATTATCTAATAATTAAATTTTTAAAAATGAAATTAATTTGAAGTCTATGTTAATTAACGTAGTTTAAAAATTGTAATTATATAAATGGAAGACTCTGCGTATAGTTTATGAGCTCTGCGTATAATCCAAATACGTGGTCCAAATATGTTAGTTACCTGTCATTTACCTGCTTTTCTCTTTTTCATTACTGCGTGCTCCTGACTAATTCTGAGGTTAGTTTTCTATGTCACTTTCCTATTTCTTTAATCACTTTTTTGAGCAAAGTATTTTAATTGATTTTTTAAAACCTTGTATATACATTGCAATCATGCATATATATATAATTTATATTTATACAACATTTTCAGTACATTTGTTTATCAATATGGCTCAAGTGTTCTGTAGAAGTTCTGTACTAAATCACTTCACTGAGATAATACATTTGCTTGGCTTATATTTATTAAATATTTATTGAAAAAAGTTTGATAATTAAATAATTATAATCTTTTGCCAAATATAAAATTCTTCCCATGTGTTTGAATAGATTTTTCAACTTGAGAATAATAGGAATTTCTAAAAAAAAATGGATAACAAGTATTAAAAACGCAATGAAAAAGAAGATAGTTTAATTACTCTTTAGAAATCAATATAAACTATACTCATTAGGAATTTATAGATCACATATACATTTAAAGAATTATCATCATTTATTACATTATTAATTGAACACAAAATACCAAATAATTGATGGCCTACGGTGTAGTAGAACAGCATGATTATTATATTACAATTTTATGAGCTTTTATGTAATCTACATTTATCATGAACTTTCTATATATTGTATGTATATAATTGGTGCTTGATAAGCACCTTACTGTATCTTATCATCTTCTAAGATTATTAAGAAATAGATGAATAGTATTGAATAGAATCATATTAGTCAATTTAATAAACATATCAGTTATAGGATTTGGTGATATAAAACATATTTGCAGATCTTGTTGCAAATTTATAATAAGAGTTTATTATATGTAAATAAACATAATGTCATAAAAAAAAAAGATATTATTATAATTAATATTTGATCTCAATACTATTCAATCTACTACGAGTTAACATATAGCTAAATTGTTAAATTATAGTAGCTTGTTAAAATGCAGTAAAGTTGCTTTAGTAATATTGAACTTTTATAATAATGACATTTCGTTAATAGTATGTTATTATTGTAATAGAGTCATTATTATACGTAGAGACATAGAATTGAAAGAAATAATAACAAAATCTAGTTCCTCTTTTGAATTTGATAGATAATAATTATATTCTATATATTCATATACACATTGACTTAAAAGAAAAACGAAAAAAAAAAAAATAAATAAATAAAAGACTTCGATCTGCAACATGCTATATAATACTCTGTATATGCACACTGGTGATATGGTATTTATTTATGCGATGTTTAATGCTTACGCTCAAGCATGTCATGCTTAATGCATGAGAATAGTTGAAAACATCATTTCCAACCATAATCAGTGCATAGCATATAAGGGGTTAGGTGAAGGGATCGCAAAATGGATTTACAACGAAAAGAAGTTGAGCTTGAAGGAAAATAGCACTGGATTTACCTATTTGCCTCAGCAGTGACAGGACCTGACGTACCAGTTGGCAGCCAGCAACCTATTTACTCGACAGATGATACCAATGGAAAGATCAACATACACGTGTCTGTAGTTTTTGTCAAATCTCTATCAGATTTGAAAAAGAAGAGGGCGCAAAATCGACATATATCAAGTGGTTCCGTGGATACTAATGGAAATGGTTTTCCAGTTGTACCAGTTTCATCTATATCCAACTCTGATTTGGGCACAAGTGACTTTCAACGATTTACTGGAAACACAAGTGAAATTATTGGTGATAACCATTCAGAAAAGAGTTGTTGTACTGTTATGTAAAATGTACATATATATAAGGAGAAAAAGTTACACATCACTAAACTAAATGTTCCTTGAACACACATGGTAAATATATCCATCTATTCGTATTGTTTTTTTTTCTCTTCTTTGTTTTTAAAGATCAAATTTTAATTGCATTGATCTGTACTTTAGTTCTTAGATTTTTCATAGATCAAATTTCTTATGATATTAGAAATATACTTTTATATATACTTAATTACCCTTATTGGGATTCCTGAAGAAGCATTGCATTTTATGTAATGTATGTTATTAATAATAGTATTTTAAAATGTTATATAAGATCAATTTTAGAAATGTTATCCTATTTTGGAATGATTAAATATGTACTTAAACAAGTTATATATAGTGATAATGTATATTATAGTTCAATTTTTGATTATTCTTTAATTTGTACATAAACTATCATTTGTATTTATACTATTAATTAGTTCATAATTTTAATTCTTTCGTTTATACAATTTTAATTATTAATTTATGAGCACAATGGTCTTGTGCAGAACTGAGAGTAATTTCTTTTTGCTTTTTTATATATATGGTAGAGAATCTAACTTGTTCTTTAATAATATATATATAATAAAAAAAAACCTTTTATTAACGTTTCAAAATTTCTCTCCATATATTGTATCAGTTCTTCACATGACCCTTGTTGTACAGATTTTTATTTATTTAAAAAAAAAAATATTCTAAAAAGAGAGTAGACTTTTATATATATATATATATATATTTATATCCGTATTAAACAATTATCTTTTCATAAGCAGCAGCCAAACATAAGACTACACTCAATATCTTCCAGTCTTTTTTATAAAATATAAAATGTGTAATAATTATATAAGTGCTAATTTTGTATTAATTTAAGCAGCCAAATTTTTATATCTACTTCTGCTTCTACAAAATGTAATATTATATATATATATTTTACATTAGCATGTTAAGTACTTAAAATGATGTCTTTAATTATAAAACAAATAACACCATTGTAATTTAAATATATTTCACATTGTTATTTAAAAAGAGTATTAGAAAAGAAAATAATGAAATTTTCCAAATTACATATATGTTAAATGTCTATTTATGAAGTAAAAAAAAAAGCTTAAAGACATCTATTTTTTTAAAAAAAATGTGTTATAATATATTTGTCACATGATTGTAGGAAGATAAATTAATACATAATTGTAAATTACCAATTCTTATGAAAGAAAAATAATTATAAATAATTTGGGCTTTTAATTGTCCAAATTGAGATATGAACCTTATTCATCAAATCATTATATTATATTTAAATTAACAAATATTTCAGAATGCGATTAGTTACAGAAATAAAGAATTTTCTATGACATATTAGAATACTAAATATATCAGTATTCTTGAAAAAAATCTTATTAATGAATAGATATCTGCTGTAAAATATATGTATCAAAAATATAGTCATTTTTATTTAACAATATTATTACCGTACAATTGGAATTGTTATTATTTGAGCTGTTAATTAAAATGTCATTACTAATCCTAAATACAATTGATTAATAAGAAAGAAAAAGAAAGCCTATATTATATATATTATATATATAAATAACATATAATGAATAACCAATTATATCTTCTTATGCATAATCAGTATCGATGTGTTCAAAACAAAAAGAAATATAATAGTTATAAATATTCTTGCAATAATTATAATTTTCTTAAAATTTTACGTGTAATATTACAAATATTCATTGAATTAAATTTAATATAACATTTATATATATGAACGAATGCAGATATCTTCCTAACTTCTATAAAAAATTTCAAATAGACTAATACAATTAATGTTATTGGTAGGCAAGCATTCAAATGTAAGATTATTATTACATCTTACATAACATTACTTGTCTATATGTCTCTCTCATGACAATATATATGTATAACCAAAAATTTATTAAGTAGAAAGTTGAAATAAACATGGAATTATATATGCACATCTGTCACTATACGTACTTATTCAATATTAATTAATTAGATGATATAGAACGTGTTTTTTTTTATCATGTATTTATTGCAATACATAAAATATTTAATTTATTTATTATAACATCTTTCATTAGAATTATATTACAGGAAATAAGATAATTATTGAACATTTTCATATTATTAGATAATTCATTGTCTTTTAAAGAGAACAATATAATAGATAGTATTATGTAATGCAAAATATATATATAAATTATATTGTATTAAATAATTTAAATTATTATATATATGGTATTTATAAAACATTCTGATATGGTGCTCATCATATTGAAGACAAAAAATTGTATATAATAATTATTAATGATTAAACAATTATATGTAAATATAACGATCAGTTACTTAAGTAAAATTGAAAGATATTTGTTTGTCTCTTATATAATAATAATATTAATAATAATATTTATCTTATATCATTTAACTTTATATATTTTTATATTTTATTATTCTCCTTTTTCATTCAAAAATAGTGTAACCTTACATTAGGAATTGTTCTTAATACTATAACTCAAATATTAAAAATAGTATAATATATTTCATTTGATCATCATTACAACTTAGATTTTTATATGATAAAAATTCTATGAAATATAAATGTTCAAAATATAATAACCATTTTTAAAATATATTTTTATTTTCTTTGTAAAGATACCTTTTTTTTTTAAATATAAAGTTGTTTATATTTCTGCCTATACTATATTGTACAGGTACTTTGTTTTTAATCGGTTTAAATTGCAATTACATTTGCATTTATAATACATATATTCCCGATTTTTAAAAATCACTTCTGCATAAGCAATGTCTTTGCAAAAATTACAGCGTAAGCAATTACATTATTATAACATCACTATACAATTATATTTAAACAAATGCAATGTAAACACATGTGGTTTTTGTTGTTTATGTAAATAAGTCATGTTTACATTTATAATCTCAATGATAGTACTCTTTTTTTTTTTATTCTTATATTCTCGATAGAAGTATGAATAATACTGTAGATGTAAAATAACTAAATATATGAAATATCATTCACATTTATATATATGAAAAGAAGAAGTTTGTAATATCCACAGAACTATGTAACGTTAATAAATTTAACTAACTATATCTTACACAACATGATATAAAAATCCAAATAAAAAGTGATTTTATATAATACTATTTATCTAAACTTTATAATAAATATTTCATAATTAAATTTTTAACAGAAGAAACATTTTGTGTGTATCTATTAATTAAACAATTTAATAATAAAACTTTATAAATTATACTAAATTAAGCAACAGATTTCCTTGTAAAAAGGAATTAATTTCGTCAGTCTACACCTGCTCAGTAAAATTCATTTTAATTGATTTCTTTAAATAAGCTAGCAATATAGACCAGTTCCTTGATTTTTAATAAGATATTTTTTTAAATATTGTGCAGCTTTATCACTAAGTCCAAGATTTGGTAAATCTTTTTCAAATTGTTCTAACGTTCCAGCCCCTGCTATATACCCATTCAATTTAGCTGCTAGAGAAGACGAACGTAATATTTCACCAGTTGTAAGACCAGTAGTTTCAATCAACCATGGATGATTTTGAAGACGATACTTTTGATGATAGCTAAAAATACAAATAAAATTAGAATTTAATAAATTATACATAAGAACAAAATAAGTTCTATGTATAACTTACTCTTCTGCTGGATAAAACTTTTCAAACGGTTTAATCTCAGTTAGAAAAGTTTCTCTGCGTTCACGTTGTTCGTGGTCTTTAGATTTTTCAGCAATCATTTTTTGTTCTTCATCGTGATATAAAATTAACGACATATACTGCAAATTTCAAAATTACATTAAATAAAGATATTAACATAAATCTAATATTAAAATTAACTAAGAAAAAAAGCATAATTACTTGTCGTTTAATTTTAGTGATTAAACTATACTCATGATTATTCCAAAATAGATTAAGCAATTGAGCATATGACACAACATCTGGATCAAATTCAATGTCAATAACTTCGGTATGATCTCCCCTGTTATGGAAAGATAAATATGATCAAAAATGATACAAGCGATTATTAATCAAATAGAATGAAAATTAAACAAAAAAAATATATTACATATTTTTATATGTTGGTGACTCTTTGGTACCACCTGAGTAACCAACTGAAGTCCTTATGACACCGGGTAAAGCTCCAAAAAGGGAATCACCAGCCCAGAAACATCCCATGCCAAAAGTGGCACGTTTTCCTTCAACTTCCTCCAACTGTCCAGGCATTTTCTTCGGAAGACAAAAGTTACATTCGTACACATCACTGCTACACACATCGTAGGATAAGGAACAGTTACCAAGATAAGAGAACACCGTTCGTGGCAATGAAAATAGTAGAATCATCGTTAATAATAAATTGATAACATTTAATCTATTTAATATATGTAATATCATTTTCTAACTCTTTTTTTATAAACTTTATATAAAATATAAAAAAATCAAATATAACAAGATTGATCAACTAAAAAATATTACAATTAGATAATTCAAGTTCAAAGAACACGACACACGTGCGAACTAACGCGTCCACGTGTAATGACTGTGTTGCGTTAATTTAAACGCGCCGAATATAAGTGCTCAGACCATTGAACATACACAAGAATGCGCGTGACTTATCAAGGCTAACCAACCGGTGGTATCGAGACTAGACAAGTGTAATACCTTATTTAATAATAATTCTAATCAAAGTTTATTTTTAAATTTATCATTTTAAAAGAAATTCTGTTGACAATTAGAAAAGTAAATTTTTTGTTATTAATATTAGATATAATAAATTTTTTTTTTAAATAATAATTTATATAGTTTCAAAATATCGAATCGTGTAAAAGCACCTTAACGTTTCAAAACCATAAATAGAAGAATTAAATTGAAAAAGCATTGATTTTTAATTTGCATGATCATCTTAAAATTCATTTACAAATTTTAACAATATATTTCTTACCCAAATAATCTAATATATTAAATGATTATAATTTAATAATTAAGTTAGATGATTAATTTGATATCCCACTGTTAGTGCGCGAAAAATTGAAAATATTATCTAGATAAATTTATAGTTATAAAGTAAAAAAGTTATTTTAAAATAAGATTAATTTGTTATATTGAATTATACCAATGTTACGTAAAATTGTATGTGCGATGAAGTATAATTCTAAATAAATTTTACCTACGTTGGATGATGAAACGAATTAGATCTGTATAATCTAAAAGAAGAGTCTTCGTTTGAGGAGTCAAAAGACGGAATGAATCGAATGATTCTTCGCAAAGTTGAAGTCACTAAGCAACCGATTCGAGTCGAGCTACACTTTTTATCTCCGCTTACCCTTTGTCCGTGTATCCCCTTCTCTATCATTTGTTTCAGAAACCAGTGCCGTATATCAATAAAGACGATCATGCGAAAATTTAAGTATTATTATTTTACATTATGAAGAATAATGGCTACAAAATTATATTAAGTAAGTTATAAAGTTAAATAATATTGTAAAATATTACAAACAGTAATAGGTAAACAAATAAAGGTAGAAATTATTTGAAGAAATGAAAAAAAAAATAAGAAGAAAGAGAACAGTACAGAATATTAGGTTTACTTTTCTTATCAGCCTATTTTTGTTACGCTCATGTTTTGTTACAAGGAGGAGGAACATTCATATGTGGTTATGAACAGAGTGGGGAAATTTCTTTAATACTCAGAGGGTTAAACGTCTTAGTATCCCCGCATCATAAAATTTGTCTCTTCTCCTACCCCCTCGTCGGTCATTTTTCGCAAATCATTCTTCCAATAACTGACACTTCCTTATGGGTTTTTTTTTTAAGAACGTCCTTGTTCCTTCTTTTTTGTTTTTACAAACATATTTATTTTTTAACATCTTTTTCCACGCTAAAAATTCATTTCTAATAATTGCAAATTGGTATTTAAATTTTGTAACAAACATCACGTGATCACGTATTTTTTTCATAAACACTTTAATTTTATATGACTATTGTTCTTGACATAATTATAAAATAAAATTAATTATTTTTAGCTTATTTTTATAATTCTTATTCAATTCGAATTATTTATTAAAGTAATTTATTGTTATTATTGTTTTTTTTCTTATATTTAATTGTACTATTAAAAAAATAATTTTATTTAAATTATGATTATTTTTAAATGTTCAACAACCAATTAGACGGGCTTAATTTTTTGTCCAATAGTAACAATCGAAAGATAGTAACGATTTCAGTAAAATAATAAGAGAAAAAAGGAGGGAACAAAATTCTAGCTTACCTTATCATTTACGTTGGAAGAATAATTTCGCAAACGAGTGCCAATTTTTGTCGTCCTTTTACAAGTTCTTAAAATAAATGATGATGCCATTGCCAACAAAATTTCTAATTTTTTCTAAACAATTGTAACGTTTCGTATAATAAAAAAAAGGTTAAGACGTTAAGATTAGGTATTCTCTTTGAGTGTAAGAATTTTCTGTTTCCATGTAACTCAAAAAATCATTTTTTTAAATTAATATTATATCTAATAATTGATAATTATAAATCTTTAACAGATCACACTGAAAAATATTGAGGTTAGGCGTAATACGATCAACCCTAAATGCTTACACTGTTTCACACTATTCAAGGTAAGAACTAAGCGCATGTACCGAAAATATAAACTAACATGTGCGAAAAGAATCAGATGGGGTTAAGTATATCATCCTTCGATACCTATTACATTATTATCAAACAATATAATATAATATCAATATTAATAAATAACCCCTATCATATCATTTTATTTCTAATTATTAAATTATAAAAAACGATCGACAAATCAAATTTAATTATATGTAAATACTTTTACAAATAATTCGTTAGATAATCGAGATAAAAGATAAACTCCATATCGATTATATAAGATCGCATTAGATGTAAAAATTCGCGGGAATTAATGCGAATTTCAAATAAATTTTTACTGACTTAAATTAGAAAAAAAATATTTAAATTCAATTCACGCGCAAATCATTTTAATTCGATAATTGATCGATAGATAGTTTATCATCACCTTGTGGGTCAGTTAATATTTCTTTATATATCGTACTAAGGACAATTGACGATTTATGAAGTTTAATAATCTACGATTACTAGTGAGTTGCATCAGAAAAAGCAAGTGGTACAAGTTTGATTAAATAAAATTACAATTGCGGGACAGTGACTGATGTAATCTCTCTTCTGACAGTGCTAAGCTTTTGACCGGCACATTTAAAGCTCTTCTGTCAGTGATACTGTTATCATTAAATTCATCATCAGTTTAGTTGGGATGTTGGCTATGTAATTTTTTATTTTTTTTTTGTATTTTTGTCTAGTCATTAATATGTCATTTAATATCGAGATAAGATGCAAATAAATGTTTTATATTATTTTTTTATATTTTTCTAGTTATATGTTATTGAAAGAAGATCTTCATGTAATCTATTTCTTACAGAAAACTTTTTTATGATATTGTGCGTGCAATACATATTAAGTTGTTGCATCAGATCAATTTCTTTGTCAAAGTTATTTAACTTAGTTTTATTATACTCAACTCATTGTCTTTCTGACTTTTCCAATAAACTTATTTAATTTTGTTTATTTTATAAGATTTTTTCTATTTAAATGATAGTTTTAAACTAAACGAATACAATGTGCAATTATTATCATTCTCTTGTGTTTTTGAGGTTAGAAATATACATAGATTCGTTTGACTGATGCACGTGCATGATCTTTATTAGCATGTATCCCGATATTTTATTATATATTTCTTTTATAATGATAGTATTTAATGTATTTAACTAAATATATTTTTTATAGGTTATAATATAGTTATTTTTATGAAAATACAGAGAGAAGATATCATTGAAAGAAATATTAATTGTGAAGCACTATTTTCATAAAAATATTAATTATATAATTTATTACAACATGGTAACTTCAATGGGATCTATATGCAGCACTCTTGGTATCGATAGAGTGGACATGCTTGGAAGAATAATTTTAATTGAAGAGCAACATGGCTGTGATGCTAATTTCTTAACAAATGCAGTTATTTCTAATGCATTGGAAAAAGACTATGGAATTTGTTTTGTACTTTTTCATAATACATTTAATCATTATCACAACGTGGGTATGAGAAGTGGTTATAATTTAATGACGTTAAAGGAAAAGGGTAAAGTAACTTTTGTTGAACCCATGAAAGAATTAATGCATAATGTAAATGAGATATGCATGGATACTGACATTATGGATGTTGGTAATAGAATTCTCTCTGATTTAAATAATACAGATAAAACTGTGGTTGATAACATGTTTAAACTTTTAAAAAATAGCTATAAGGAAATGACAAGTCAAAATGAAAAAGTTTTAATAATTATAGAAGATATTTCTCATTTGTCCGATTTAGGATTAAGTTTTAGAGACTCTATGCACTACGTAAAGTGTATAAGATCACTTATGGAATCTTATCCAATGACACAGTTGTGTATTACAGTACATACATATCAAAATAATGTACAAAGTTCTATTCCCGATTTTATTAGTAATAATTTGAAATATATAGCAGATCTTGTTCTAATAGCAGAACCATTAACAACTGGTCATTCGAGTGATGCTTCTGGGAAAGTAACAGTTAATTGGAACATAGATTCTGTAAGAATAGAATATCATTGGACAGAAAAAATGATATATTTATATAAATTACTAGATTGGCATGTAAAAATATTTGCTCCCGGTGCAACAACAATATCTGTAACATAAAAGATTTTTTAATAAAAATATTCATGAGTAAAATTATTTTATTATTCTTAGTGTTTATCCTTTTACTGTTAATAGACTGAAGAAATCACTATAATGGATAATCAGCATACTTCATTTAGTGATGCTCAACTTAAATTATTGAACATTTATTTGATATACAAATTGTCAATTGCTTTTGACAGCATTTAAAATAAAAAAGAAAATGGGTTTAAGGCAGAGTAGATACGAAAGTAGTCCTATCCAAAATTATTACAAATTGTCTACCGAAGAATATTTGTTAATTAAAAAATTATGGACAGAGATTGAAAATAAGCCTCAATATTATGGAAATTTATTCTTCACAAGGTTTTTATTTCTTAACTAATTTCACCTAACTATATACTACCGATTGAAATGATGTATGTTAATTTTCTCTCCCAAATATCTTCAGTTTTCTTGAAACGTATCCACAGTACATAAAGTATTATACTTTAAATCCACGTATACCTCTTTGCGTGGATGTTCGCCTTTGCGCAAAATTCACACTAATTATGGAAGCTATAGGATACCTTGTGCTAGATGTTTATGGAAATCGAAAACAATTAGATCGTTTGGTCGGTTACGTCGCTATGGTTCACAAAGATATGCGCTTAGATAGAGGAGACATGACAGTATGTCATTATGGTGACTAATAATAATAATAATAATAATTACTAGTCCATAAAAATACAATTCAATATTTTATTACCATGTAAATATATAGTACTACTCACGAAGACAATTTTTACAAAATTTGCGCGCGCTTTATTAATTTTGTAAATAAGTATATTTTATCTAATCCACACAACCATTGGTAAAATTTATTGGTAAATAAACATATTGGTAAAATTTCCATTTTCTAAAATAATAAATATTTCCTTTAGAATTTTGAAACGAGCTTTTTGCGGTACTTGGAGCAAACCTTTCCAGTTCATATGACTGGAAAATGCCAAGAAGCAATGACAATGTATATTAATAGTATTGTAAACGGAATCGTAAATAAGATGGAGGAGTTTCGTCAATACGAAATCATCGAAACGGATGCAATACCGCGATCGGTAAGATTTAAAAAAAAAAGAAAAACGTCTTCAAATAGGCATATTTGTCTTATATGCAAAATTTTCCATATGCAAATCATATAAGCTCAAATGTTTTTTAATTATCTATTAATTAACTTTGATAGTATAGTACTTCGGTCTTTGTACACTTTGTACCGACAATTTGGTATTCGGTCAGACAATGACATATTGGAAAGACAGAAAAAAGGATTGGGATATGTTATTGAACGATTGGAATGCTAAAAATTCGCCCTTAGAGCCAAGAAATACTATTACGACCAGTAACTATGATAACGCGTTAGCATACGAATTGAAAACCGAGGACGAAACGATCGAATTGCCTGAATTGAAAGTAGAACGTGATGACAAACACAAAGAAGATACCGTTTCAATCGTTAAATCTTCTCTCGTTCAAGAAGTAAAAATATATTTTTTTTTAATAATATATACATATGTTACTTGTTTGTAGATTAATTATTGTAAAAAAAACAAATAATTGTTAAGTTAAAGAATAGATCTATAATCGTTTCATAGAAAACGAACGATGATAAGAAAAACGAGTTCAAGGACGAATTACCATCGGAACCTAGGGGAGTTGTGGATAATAAGGAGCATCCTGAGAAAAAGTCGAAGGAATCGAATTCATGGAAATCGTCTGAGTGGAAACAACTAAATTATTCGTCGAGTACGAGTCCTCGAGAAAGACATCGTGCCTTTAGTATAGTCCGGGAGGCCATAGATCCTCAAAGTGATCCTAGAATACTTCGTAGAAGACTCCGAAGTAGTCGAATAGCGGTCAGACCTATTATTAGTGAAATCATCAAGCAGGACGACAACGAGACAGATCTTGAACACGTTCAACTTCGTAAATTCTCTAATACGGCACGTGAAAGGCGTCGAGAGTCGCAAAAGTTTAGTTTCGATCTGAAATGAACAATTAATTGATATAATAAGGTCAATCAATGATGGAAGAAGGGAAAATGTCAAGAACAATATTTCGATTGACAATACTTAAATATTCATCAAAGAAATGATGCATCCTTTAATATTCTCGATACGATCGATTTAAGAAACGTTTATCAAAACTAGTTAACCATATTGTAAATTCACGTTGACATTTATCCTTATCTAACTGTGTCATAAAAGTATATACATAACTTTATTCTTTTTTTATACTATATTAATCGATTTATTTCGGAACGGAATGAATCGATCAAACAAGACGAGTTGTCTCATAATAATAATAAATAAATAAATAATAATAATTTATATATATGCATAATTACTTCAGCTCGGTTTTTCTCGTTCGTTTGTCCTTTTTAATGCGTTATATCGATTATTGCTGCTTTGCGAATATCTTACAGAATCCATGCTATCATCGCTGGATATACGCCGGAGTTTTCTAATCCTTTACAAAAAAAAAAAGTTTTGAACTTATCATTCCTTTCTCGCGTCTCTGTAAATTGGTATTGTCAATATTTAGAAAACAAAAAAGGAAAAATCAAATGTTAATTTATGATAATATTTTTGAAATGAAAATAAATATACTTACGGATTTCTCGTTGTATTTGAAGATGGAATTGGTGGGAAGAGAACTGATGGAGAGATTAGAGGCTGTACTACAGGACCCATTACTCTTTCCACGTCAGGTGGTTCTTGAATGGGTGGTAAGGGTGATTGATCCCAATCAGAATCTGTTGAACTAATTACATAAATTACAATATTATTACCGTAAATTTATTTCCTCTCATCCACACTTTAAAATGTTTCAATTTCTTTTTGATATATCGTGAGTTAATGTGTAACGTGCCAGATAAACATGAAAACAGGGGATGGAAAATCGATGATGGGTTTTATGTACGAAAGAGAAGTTAAAGTTTACACAGTTGGAAAGTATTACTTTGTATTTCCTACGCGATCGATAACACACGGAAGAAAGAAAGAAAGAAATAAAGAAGAGGGTCATCGATGAATTTTCTTTATTGTTGTCTAGTCTTGCCTTTTTTTCAGGATCTATAAGGATACCTTTTGCGACTAGAAAACAACTTTAAAGAGTCTGAACGTCTGATGTAAAAATACTTTCTTTTTTTTTTACTCATAACAAAGTTTATTCCAACAGGCATATATATTTGATGAATAATCATGACTGGTTTGCCGCAATAGAATATCAAGGCGTTCGATAACTACCTACACGCCATACATATAAAAAGTACAACCCAATCGATAATATTCATATTATCGGCTTATATTGTTGTGCATACCTGCTTGGTATTCTGCTGTCGTTATTAAAAGTATCATAACTCAGACTACTAGATATAGGTGGAAGTTTAGCTCCAAATGCTACAGATGAACATGTCAGATCTGCTAGATTACTGTCCACGTATGTTGCAGTTTGGATTTCTTGTTGATATAATAAATATAAATTTTGTAAATCCGGTGGTAAAGTCAAACGTCCATCTGTGAAAAGACTACATCGTTAAAACATTCATATTTTTATTAAACTATTTAACGTACCTTCCATTATACGTCTCTGTCTCGTGATTATCTCATCAGATATTTGTCTTTGTCGATCATAACGCAAAAGTAAAAGTTCTCGTCTTCTAAGTTCGTGTTGTTTTACTAATCTTTCACTTTGAAGCATCATTTTGTCGGCTTCCAGTTCGTGGACTTTTAACATCAACGCTAAAAGTTCACGCTCTTCGTCCGAATTAATGCGAGATGGTAGTTCCTACAAGAAAATTCATTTTAGTTGATATTCTTTGTTCTTTCAAATGTGGATTTATTTATTTTTTTTTATACTTACATCTTCTAACGCAACACTTCGTTTTCTACAAGACTCCAGTTCTTTTTCTGTAGCTGCACGCATTTCAACATATCTTTCCTGTTCCTTAGCAATTTCTGTTAATTCAGCCCAAGCTTGTTGTACCAATGAATCATCTTCGAGATCAGTGTCCTCTAGAAGATCTGAAAATATTAAGTATTATTAATCCTCGTCCTAAAATGTATTGATTACATAATTTTGTTCACTTGCCTATATCATCAACTTCTTCTACTTGATAATCAGTTCCAGGACGACGATGTACGGAATCCCTACTCGATCCGTACACTCTGTTGTTTCTTGATTCCCATTGAGAAATTATCGAGTGCTGTTGTTCCGCAGCAATATTTAATCCTAAAAGATGACTGTCCAGTTCCATAAGCTTCCTCCTGTTCGTCAATCATTTTTAAATAAAATTGCAAATAATTATTTTTGTCTAATATCAATTTACTGTCTATAAACATTACCTTAAACGCATTTGTTCTTTAAAAGCGGATACTATTTTTTCTCTCAAAGTTCTAAAATCAGAACCGTGACCATCCTGTTGCTTTTCGTCATATCTGTCCGAAGGTCTATCTTCTTTCATTTTATTCCTTAACCGTGAAATCTCACTTTTCAGATCACTGATAATGTCCCGGTATTGGGCAACGTGAAGATAACTAACGTCAAGAACATTTTTTTCCACCTTGTTAGAAATTTTATTAGCACGGTCCGCATAATTCAAGGTGTTCTTACTCTCGTCACGATGTATACTTGCAGGTGAGACATGAGCAATCATAACTGTGCGACAGTTACCACCAAGTGCTTCTTTGAGTAGTCTGGTCAATTTAGAGTCACGATAATTAACGAATCTGGCACCACCGGATAAAGCTTTGATGCAGTTACTCAATGCCAATAATGATCTGTTAATATGACCACCCTCTTGAAGACGTTTACCTTTGTTCTAAACATACGAATTCGATGTTAATTGGATTGATATAAATAAAAAGAAAATTAATATTCTTTTTTGAAATGTTTCTTGCACCTGAGTTTGTTTGGCTCTCTCCGAACCAGCAAGATCTATCATGAATAGTCTACCCTGCTTCACTTTAGTTCGATGACGTTGTTCACTATCAGAATAGGATGATTGTCTAACAGTGACACTGAGAAGAGCGTGACTCCTCGAAGAAGTTTCGTTAGCAGCCGTTGGCTCAACCATTCTTGCTTTATTGCCTTTGTGAAGGAGTTGCATGACCTGTCGATGCACGAAACATGCTTACGAATAAATAATTATCTTACTACGATGATATCGATCGTTGTGTCAAATTATACATTCAAAGAGTTACACGTGCTTAGAACGTATTATGTATGTGTATGAACGTTCGTTCAAGGAAATCAAGATTCGATCTACGGAATAATCCATTAAGGCTTAATTCCACTTCGGAAATTTGTAGGTATAGACTTGGTAGGAAGATTCCAATCAACTTACTTCCTCGGTTGAATTAGTGGAGACTTCCGTAAGACCCGAAACTTGAACGTTGCGACCTCGAGAATCCTCACGCAATTCCAAATATCCTGTACTAGGGTTCAACAAGTCACGAATATTTTCGTTGTATATTTCTACATAAGACATAGTAACCTGTAAAATTAAATATAATAAAAAATTTAAACGTTAACGAGTTCAATCAAAACTAATAGTATATATTATCAACGATCTTACAGTAAATTCTACGTTGTTCGATAGTTGTCGGGTAGTCAGAAAAATATCATTCAAAGCTCGAACCATGATCCCCGGTTCTGACGATGTTCCAACCATGGTATGAGTTTTTCCAGCTCCTGTAGCTCCATAAGCAAATACTGTAGCATTATAACCATTGAGAACATCTTGTACCAAATTTTTCGTTGTACTTTCGTATACGGCTTCCTATATGATCAATATTTTATTATACAAAAATAATTAATTGAATAATTAATTATTTGTATTATATAAAATTGTTTACCTGCGTTGCATCTTCCCCGAAAACAACATCAAAAAGGTATTGCCGTGGAAATGAACGTTTTGATTTTTCACCAATAACTTCTTCTAGCATAACCATCTGTATAGTTATTTTTATATCTCGTTAGCTTTTATATTTCCATTTTAATTGGATGACATTTAAAATTAGCATAGATCCTTTACCTTATCGTTAATGGCATGAATCGCTCTAGAACCGGTTTCACCTGGTGTTAGGGGCCTTATACGTACAGCGACCTAATCAATAAAACAATTTATATCTAGTTATTGTCTTATCTATATATATATATATATCTTTATAAATGTGTATTTACATAGGGCAATATGTAAAAGGTAGAAATCAACGCATTAAATCTCTGTAGAGAAGGTAATAAGTGATCTTACAAAAAATAGGATAGAAAATCGTCTACTTCCACATCATTAATAATTAATCATTATCAAGTTCAGAAGTTGTAAGTGATTTTATTCAAATCGATTCTCTTGTAGTTATATGTGTGCTCATATTAGCTCAACGACCCATGCTTAATTTTTTATTACGTCTTTCTTCTTCGACACATGCGACATCAGAAGTGCTTGTCACGCGATTATCAAGCAGTTACATGATGAATCATTTCCTATTAACTTTTCTTACATATTTTAAATAATACAGATTCTAATCAATTGCAACATTTAATGCAATACCAGAAGATACCACACGAACATCAAATTGATTTCTTTTTTTTCTTTTAAAATTTTAAATATTAATTTTACGTGTCGTATTATAAATAAAAAAAAAACTCTGTTTTTATTTGTTGAATTTTAATATAATATTAAGTATTAAAAGAAAAATAAGTTTTAGTAGTAATATTTACGTACCCTTAGTTTCTCTTCGATCGTTTTCGATGATCGATCTTTAAAATCACGATGGCCACTGCTACTCGTGCTACTGCTACTTCCACTGCTACTATATTGCGTCATTTTACGACTAACTTTTTAATACGTGATACCATAAACAAATTAATGCAATAAAATCGTATGGTTAATCAGATTAAGTATCATAGAATATATAAAACTATATACATATATAGTTTCTCTTATTCCCAAGTCACAAATTTGTCCATTATACAATAATTATTTTCTACTATTGTAAAAACAAACCAAAAAAAATTACAAAACAAAAAACAATACTTATCGAAGTAAATCTTACATTTTAAATTATTTCCAAATAATAATTTTCAATTAGAAAAAAATAATCGTACACTTTTCCAAAAGAAACTTGTTAACTTTTCAATTTATAGAAATATCGTTTTAAAATTGTTTAGAATCAAATTTTATGAACAAAAATAAAGAATAATTGTTTAGATTTGTATCTTCGCATAAATAAGCTCGATAATGTTATGATTAAATGGTAGATTATTTGTTTTCTTTATTTTTCTTCTTTTTTTTTATTCTTCGAGTCGTAAAAGAAGGAATGGTTTCACTCGAGCATATTTTAACGCACGTTATCGGTTAGAGGTCAGACGTCCGACTGAGCTGCGCACCTGTCCACCCTCTCGGACAATATACGTGCGAGCTTAAGCTAGTTTAACTGCTTACCCTCAAGAATTACGAACTTTCCACTACGTTCAAACTTTTCGTGTAAGAGAGGGATACGATTCAAACGTTCTCCCATCGATCATTTTTTAACATTGAATAGTTAAAAGTCACGTGGTTCCTTAACTTCTTCAAAATTATTATATCTAATTGTTAATTATTACTGAAACATAATCTTATCTATCCAATAGAAAGAAAGAACAAATCAAAAATTAATAGCATAATTAAAATATAATAATGTATAATATATTTTGATCAAAACTCGTGTAACTATCTAACAAATCCATTTTCAAATTTATCCCAATTAACGACATCTTTGTATTTCCCAAATTTTGTTTAACTTTTATTACAATAATTTTATCCTTATAATTTTTTTTTTTTCAAAGAAATATGCATACGCAACTTGTTATTGTAGTTCTAAAAGAAAAATATTTGTTTTTTTTTTCGTTTCTTTGCTAGTCACATTTATTATATTTCGATTTATTTGAAAATTTACGAAGAACTGAAAGAGAATTTCGTTATTTTTTTTGTCAAGGTCTCGATAATCATAAATTATATGTGAATGATTTGTTAGACATAATTCTTTCATGTGTCTGGGTTATAAATAAATCTTAACTTTTTATTATTATGTCAGGATGTTATATGATCTTGTATATACAAAATAAGAAATGCACGGTCGTTAAACCAGTAAGTATAAACGTACTTATGGTTTCACTACGCGTAATTATGCGGTTTTACTATTCTCTTCCAAAGAGACGAAAATAATCAATGCTGAACAAAGTTAAGCATCGAGGTCAGAGCTAGACGGTCAGATATGATCGATCGATATTACTTACGTATGTGGAACATTAGTTGGCATTATGCGCAACGCATTTTCAACTAACAATAAATATTTTTTCAAAGTGCCCGAAATCGAAATTTTGTCATCCCAATAATATCATAAACACACGAACTTGTGACATTTGCAAAAGAAAAAAAAGACTAAATTATAAAGTAAGGAAGAACATCAGGTTCGTGAGTTTTGTTATCATCAAATTTCAATATTGCAGTGTACGATCCTTTCGTACGATCTTTCAGATAGTATATTTAAATTATGGTACATTTATATAGACATACGCAAATGTATCAGTTTAATTTTGTTCAAAGTTTCATTTATTGTCGAATAATAGGATATAATGTTTATGCACCATCGGTTGAAAATTTGGAATAACTTGCTGTATAAGTTTTGAAACGATTTATCGTTATTACATCAAGTGTTAACAGATTGAATAATGTTCTAAGATGTTGCAACATTTTCATATTTTCATAATATCTTTATATAGTTTATATAATGTTTCGAAGCAACTATTTTTATAAATATCCTATATCTCTAAATTTACGTGGCGATTCCAAACTTTTTACTGATAGTGTACTTATCTAATATGCGCATGTGAATATACAAAGAAATATCAAAGAATATATAGGAAGGATAAATAAATAATAATTTGCACCCTTAAAGAAGGGTGATTTTCACTTATAAAAAGACGTTGCGTGAGGCACGCGCTTTAAAACTATTGAAAAATATAAGATGCTGACCTTCGACATTTTCTTGCAACTATTTTGAATATTTATGGGATAAACTCGTGCTGATGATTGTTTTATTAAAATAAAATTAAATGGATTTATGTGTGTATGAGATTGTATGTAAGTACAATGTAACTTATTCATTCAAAATTATTCTTGGAAATAATTTGTCTTCTTTCCTTTTTCTTTTTTATCGAGAATTAACATTTCGACTGTTTACTAATGTACTACTACTAGTATACAAAATAATTCGAAGTTTTAAATAAGCTAATACTAAATTAAACAAATTAAATAGATAAGATCTAACAACTTGAATTCTATCGGATAGATTAGATTTCAGAACAAAAATAACGCGTTTTAAAATGATTTCAATCGTAATACAAAATGATAATGCACATTTTAATCTCGTTTCTTGTCCATAACATGTCACATTACTTTTTTATATATGTGTACATAAACGAGAGACAACTTTCGAATAAAAATTTCTCATATTATTTAAAAATTATTTAAATTCTAAAATTTTGTTATTTTCATTTTTCTTTTTCTAGTTGTAATACAAATAATAATCCGTATTTTTTTTTTCTGTTAACAAGACAACAACATTTGAACTGAAAGTTTTCACACGTTTTCTTTTGCACTTTTTTTTATAATAAAAATTATAGGAAATGACGGAGGGGGGGGATATTTTAGATGTTGTTTTTAAATCCAAATAAAGGACCAATATAGAATATTAAATATGATAAATGCCACAGGAAAGACTATTCTACTTCGTCGGTCTATCCATTGAGCTATTTCTTGGGGTGTCATTGTTGTGAAATTGTGTAATTGTGAGAGGGTTGGCCTTCTTGAAAATGGTTTCGTGGTCGGTGGTGGTTGTGGTGGTGGTGGTGTACTGTCAATCGTCATGATGCTCCCCACGGAACATTCTTGATCCTTATCTTCCTCGATCTTTACCGAAGGTATATTGATTGTACTTGGAAAGCTCTAGAAACCCAATATGTACAAAGTTTGATTACATTTTTACTTTATTTTTTTACAAATAGAAACTAATTTCAAATAATTTTCTTTGATATCAATATTGTTATTATAATATAATATTATACTGTGTGCGTATTAACTGTATACTTACGTGTACAGTTAGGTAATTTTGACTGGAATAATCTTGTTCGTTGATATTACCATTATCAAGTGAAGACCAAGAACGTGATCGTTCTAAACTTGTCGTATTCTTTTGGAACTGTTTTCTCGCTAATTTTGGCGTTAACGTTGATTTTAATATATACTTGCTGTTTACCTTTTTTAATGGCACATTTTTTCTGCACAAAAATATTCATCGATTATATTTTGTTTATTTGTATAGATAAGAAAAAAATTTGAATACGTACTTTCTTCTATAAATTGTATTTACAAAAGCAAATTCAACCATCGCTGCGAATAAGAATATTGTACAACCAAGAAACCATATTTCACTAGCTTTTATGTAAGATACTTTTGGTAATGAATTTTCTACTTTAGATGCAAGTGTCATGAATGTTAATATTGTATTTGTTCCTATAAATGAAAAGTTTTAAATCAATATGAAAAGTTTTTTTTTTTTAATATTATGGGTTTCATATAAATTAATACCTAAAACAATTCGAGGAGGACCTGCATCCATGTGTAACCAAAAGGATACCCAAGATATGACAACGATTAATATCGATGGTATATAATAATCCATCATGAAAAATCCCATTTCACGAGCTAATTTAAATGTTATGGTAATTGAGCTGAAATTACCAGCTAAAATGATGAAAATTATAATATATTATATCGCATTAGAAAATTAATTTTTTTGTCTTTATACAAACTGTAAAATAATACAACTATTATTTTTAATTTATCATTCTATTATCTACATTTATTATTATTCGTAAATACTTGATTTTTCTCTTTAATTAAATATTTACCAAAGTGACCATAATGTTGTTGAGCAGTGGTGTACGATACGTGAGAATGATTAACCCATTTTTCAACAAGTTTATACTCAGTTAAATGTAACTCATCAGCAAGCACAATTGGTTCTTGGTCCCAAACCAGTTCCATATCTTGTACATTGTAGGTCCCTGTAGGTAAAAATACCATTCATTTCCAAGCAGCAGACTGGAACAATATACTAATTCATGTGATACTAAAAACAACTAAAATAACATCCTACAGCTTTCGAAAGCCAATGGGCACTCCTGCACGTCAAATGGAAATTTTTCTAAACGTAGTCCACAATTAAGGATAGCTTCCATTCTAAATAAAGAACAAGATAAAAAATACATTAATTATTTATTTTAGATATAATTAAAATAAGAAATAGGAAATTTTAAAAATATTCATAGACCTGGTATTCAAAATAACCATTCCGGCTGGATTAATGGAGATCAACAAATCTTTAACACTATTTCCAACAGAAGCAGAACTTCGTTCATTAGCTACATAAACGGAAGGTGTCCAAATTAGATCGTGTGCTACTTTTCCACCATAGATTTGTGTTAAATTTGGTGCAAGATCTGAGAATTCTAATCGTTGATCTTCATATCGAAATTGTAACATCATATTTACACCAAATTGCTAAAATATAATACGATAAAAAAGTTCATAAGTTTTTACTTTACTTTTTTATAATAATGAAATAATATTTTGTAATGTTTATATTACCAATGTCTTAGCCATATTTGATCTAAGTATATATATGTAAACTCTTGTATAAACTTTGACGGGATCGGAAGCATTAATTAGACCGGGTGGTCTAGCCATTTTGTCGTAACGACAATCGTGCGTTAATTCTTGTAAAAGTTCCGTTTGTGTTACACTGCCAGCAACTTTCATTGTTGGACAAATTCCTTCTCTATTTTAGAACAACAAATATTAAATATTAAAATGAATATCAATGCTGTAAAATATTGTCATTTTATTTTTATAAAATTCACATTTTAAAGGAACGCATAAACAATATAAAATAATTATAAAATAATATTATAATTAATATTTATATATAAATAATAAAATAATAAGAACATAATAATACTTGTATGCGTTTGAAAAAAATTAACATATTGCGAACAATAGAAAAAAAATGTCTTCAAATTAATATTCTTGACTTTGTCTGTTTGAAAGAATGGTTCATTGGTGCTTTGTACCAATGCAGATGACATAAGAATAGTGCATGTGACTCTGTTAAACTATACAAAGAATTTCCGTACTATTGAATCTACAGGGAGAATTATACGAAGAAGAAAATAAACGTTGGATCTAGATATTTCGAAGAAATAACATTTCAATAAAATAGTTCATCATTTTTTTGGAACTTCTATTTTGATAATCTAGATAAGAAAAAAAATATATATATGTATATATATTTATAAATAAAATTCTATTCATTACTGTATGTACATGGTAATTAAACTCACAATAAAACGTTATCATCTTTGCATATAGATTTACAAGTATGTCATCGCGTGTTTGAGAAAAACAAAGATCTCAAATAATGCCGTAGTTTGTTCTTAAATATTGAAATCTCAGGAAGACAACAAAGATTTACAAGATCTACTTCTTATCTAGTGTAATGATTACACATTAAATGCCGACACTAAGATTGCTTCTTTTACGAAGAAACAGATATTGACTTTTAAATTAATTTGTGTGTGTGGGTTTGATTGTTCACAGAACATAATCTATTTTTTTTTTTTCCTTTTAAAGTAGACAAGTGCAGACAAAAATAAACGAGATGACAAGTAAAACGTACTTAAGTTATAAAAAATGAATTTCACAATAATGCGAGAACGATTTTCGATATGTTATGTACGGTATTACATTTGATGGTGTTTGAATATGTTTTTTTTTTTTTTTTTGTTAAAAGATTATTCAAATTCACTTGTAAAAAAAAAAATTGGAAATGAAATGCAATTGAATGACTAATGTTACGAAATAAATATTATTTTATATGTATCGTGTTTTCTTTTTTTTTTTTTTTGAAATGTGTTTTTCCATTCGATAAGTTTAATAAAAATGATATAAAAATTATAACTGACGTTATTTGATTGAAATAAGATAAAGTTTTAATTAAATTTGAATAATTCTGTTTAAACAAGTGCTTTTAATTCTTTCATTTTCTATTGAAATGCCAGATTACGAATGAGATTAAATCAATAATGTCTTATTTTCGTACATACTGCATTTATCGTATTAATTAAATATACTATATTTGTTTTAATAAATTATCTTTTAATTAGAAATAATTTAAATAATATTTGTTTATAATTAAATAAATAATCATTAATTTATTTTGACAATATTATTTTATCTACGACATATTAAAATATTTTGATGACAATAATTATTGTTGTATAATACAATAATATAAATTATTGGATAAACTATTTATGATATTAAATTTATGCAATATTAGATGTCATAACAGAGATAAATATGATTGTTAAAAACAATAGAATGCTTTAATAGTTACAACGCAAAACTATTACGTATCATCTATTAGTAAAGTTCAATTGAAATACTCCTAGTTCAAGACCTTATTAACTCTCATTCTCACATATTACTTTGAATATTCAAATAAACTTGGTAACTTCGCGTTGAACAATCATTTTTTTTTTTTTTTTTATTAATAAATGTAAAATACTAATAATTCAATTTCATATTATTTTTAATATTATAAATAATAAATATGTTTCACATGCACAAAAAAGAAAAATAATCTAGGCGTTTATTATGAATGCGATTTTTTTGATACAATTAATTAATTTCTAAACAAATATATAATACAATTGTAATAATTATAATTGTACTTACATGTCAGCTGGTTTAGCAAATGATAAATTTGGTAAGGTATAGAAAAAAAAGAAAAATAAAAAGACTCTTCCCCCAAGAGTCATTTTAAGCTTCTGTAATACTTAACAGTTCTACCGGTAGATACAAACTGTCTTCAAACCTAATGTAAGTAAATTTACTGGAAAACAGACACCAACCAATCATTGCTCCCACTTTACATGTTCTCCTGCTTACAAGAACACGGTAAGATCTTCCTTACCCCCCCCCCCTAACCTCCGATTTTTTTCAAATTTGGCACACTTGTAGTAGTTCATGAGAAGATTCATTGTGCCTTTAAACTTAGTGCAAATACCCAGACATTTGCGAAAAAATGCGAATTGAAATTTCACATAGATTTGTATTTTTTTTAATTGTAGTAGTGTAGTAGTCTACAAAAGCGGCAATGTGTGGGTCTCACAAGTCGCCGATACCTGTATCTTTTTTAATATTGAAATAGGATTAAGTTTGTCTACCTTTTCAAAGATAATTTTTTTTATTTTTTTTTCTAGAGTATTGTACATTAATTTTGTACAGAATGAAATTTAATAAAAAGTACATTTGTGTATTATATGGTGTCTGATTTTTTGTTGTGTGCTAATGTTATAAATTTTATTACAAAATAAACATTATTACGCAAATAATAGAATTAATAAATATATTAATAATTAACTATTTAATTACTTATTAAAATAAGTATATTATTCATTAACAATAAATAACAAAGATTAATTTCTAGTGTACTTAGACCGATACATTGCAAAATGAATGCGTCCATTTTTTTTTTCCAAATTAATAAAACAAATGGCAAATACATTCTACTGTGCAGTTCTCAATATGGACTAATATAAATTTATTACTGTAAATCTTACTGGGAATTTGAAAACATTATTAGGAATCGACTGAGACCAGAACAATTTATATATTTTTATGAATTAATATATTCTTTGTAGAAATTCCCTGTGAATTATTATGCAAATAAAACGCAGATGCAGTGACAAAAAATAATTTAGACAATAATATGTTTAGAGGTAAAAGTAATAATAATCTTGTTTGAGAAAGAAGCAAATATTATAATATTGTAAAGATATATTTTTTTTATCATAGAAAAATTGATATACGTTGCATTAATTTTTAATCATTTAACAAAAATAAATTATATTTATCGACTGATAATATATGTGCCGCCATCTAACGGTAATAACTACTACTTCATCTTATCATCTGGTAGAATACGTGCCGTCATCTAACGGTACTAGCTATTACTTCATTTTACCGACTGGTAGAATATGTGCCGCCATCTAGCGATACTAGCTATTATCAATGAGCATTGACTGAACTTTTCGTAGACTCATGAATTGACTAAATTCTTCGTAGTTCATTGATTTTCGAAAATTGAAAAATTTTTTTCGTGCATTCGATCATTGACTGAACTTTTTGTAGACTCATGCATTGACTTAATTCTTCGTAGTTCATTGATTTTCGAAAATTGAAAAAATTTTTTTCGTACATTCATGCATTGATTGAGATTTACGTAGACTCAAAATTAATTTACAAAATAAATTTATTAAATTTATAAATACTTTTATAATTCATGATTATCATGAATATAATAAAATCTTACAAAATTTCATTTATATTAAAAATAGTTTTTTTATATACATAGATTTCATTAAATCTATACTTAATCATAATTTTAATTACTATTTCCTATCTTATTAGTTTTACATATTACAACATGTGGTTTCATCCTATTAATGGTGTAAGTAATTGAATGAATATCTTTCAAATGTTCCGTTACTCTTTTAAAATGACGTTCCGTATAAGGTATCATTCCCTCAAGGAAAGACAATAGACCTGTGCTTTTCATATCTTCCATTTCCATTTCACTAATTAACACATTTATAACCGTCTGTAAATTATATAATTATTACATTTTCATTAAAATTTCAAAGTAAGACAATTTTTGTCCTATTCTAATTATGTTAATTTACATACCTGAGCAGCTTCTGCATTTTTGCTATTAGTGTTCCATTTAGATGCAGAACGTAATAAAACTTGCTTACAAGAAGGTGTTAATCCACTGATTGTGGTTTGTAAATCGTTTTTATCTTTTTTTAATATACCTATAGAAATTTTGAAATTTAATTGTGTAAGATTTTTATGAAACATTTTAAAAGAAATATAATTATATAGTTTTGTATACCTTCAACTATTTTTAAGACCTGGAATGGTCGTTCCAATTCCAAAGCAATTTTTAATGCGTTGGTTAATTCATTTGCTTGAAGTAAATTAGCTAATTTTTGTTCCTCTAACACAATTCTTTCTTTTTCTTTTATAATTCGAGCTTTTTTCTCTTCTGTTGCGTCTTTCCAAACTATCAATAAAGAATCACTTCCACCGCTAATAATATATTTTTCGTCTTTGGAAACTAAATAAAAAAATAAATCAAAATAATAATATATATATGAATAATGATAAAAAAAAATGATAATAACGAAAAACAAAATAATACAACTAACCTGTTAATCCCCACACTCGATCCTCGTGTTTTGTCATAGTTAAAGTACATTCAGATGTTTTAATACACCAAATTTTGATAAGACCATCCGCACCTGATGTGACCAATTGCATACCACGAGACATAAATTCAGCTTTTAAAACAGAAGATTCATGTCCTTGAAAAGTCTAAATAATACATCAAATTATATAAATAATAAATTGGGCTATATGAAAAAAAATAATAATATATCATTATATAATTAGTTACCTTCAAACATGTGAGGTCATGCAATGACCATATCTTAATCGTGCAATCTGCAGATGTTGTCAATAATACTTTATCAATTGGTGAAAATCGTACGCACCATACACCTTTCCGATGTCCGTTAAATGTACCAATCAATTGAAGATTATTGGCAGACCATAACTAAAATAATTATTTAAAATAATCAAATATATTAAAATTATAATATAAATTATAAATATATTAATTCTAATAAATATTTATATTATACTTTAGCAGTTTTGTCTTGTGAACCAGTTGCAATAAATTCATCGTTCAATGAAACTGCTACGCTATTAATATCTTTTGTATGAGCTGATACTGTATAAGTTGACTCGATGTTAATCTGGTCTGCTGTAAATATAAACATTTAAATAATAATAATAATAATAGAATAATATTTTTACAAATTGTGATATATGCAATAAAAACTAAACCAACTTACATGAGTTTGATAAATTTTCAGGTAAAGACCAAAATTTAAGGCACGAATCCTGACTGGCCGATACAAAAAATTTTGCTGATAATTGTGAAATGCAAACACAGCCAACGGCAGCTGTATGTTTAACAGCAGAAGCAATACATGCCATTATTTTTGTTTCTTTATCCAAAAACCATACTCGAATACTATTATCCTAATAATAATAATAATAATAATACATAATGTATTAATAATATATAAATATAAAAAAATGAAAATATATGAAACAAAAATTTAAACTTTTGTTACCTTAGATGTAGAAATTAATAACTGCCTATTGGCAAGAGTTGTAGCAAGTGATAAAACTATATCAGTATGTCCACAAAGTAATTGGCAATTCATAGAATTTAATTCGTATAATTTAATATCTGAACTATTGCTAGCTACTGCAATATGTGAATCCTGTTCTCCTACATAAGTTATGTCTAAAACGGAGTCTAAGTAACCCGCAATCTGTATATTTCATTTTGTTTATATTAGTAATACACAATAAAATACATGATATATATAAAAACATTTTTTAAATAATATTATAAAAACATACCTGTTTTATGCAGCCAAATGTTTCCATAGAATAAATTATTATATTATGATCTGCAGAAACTACAGCAAAGTTATTAATAGCTTCGTTATATAATAAATGCGTAATTGACAGTCCATTTTCTTTAGATGCAGTAATCAAAGAACTTTCTTGTGTATAAATTTGTTTACATTTTGTTATATCCCATAGCGTAACAAGACCTAAATAATTATGAATTGAAATTTTATTCATTTATTAAATAATTTATACAATAAAAGAAATATATTTAATGAAAACTATCAAACCTTTTTCTCCAGCGGTAGCTACGTAAATAGAATCTGCTTCAGGTTTAATGACATTGCTTAACAAAGAAGTATTATATGGCACAATAAACGCTCCTTCTATTACTTCGTATACAGCTAATGTTCGGATTGCGGTTGCAGTAGTGATATCCCACAATATAATTACTCTATCTCTCCCGGAGCTATAAATTTAAGAAAATAAACAATTAATTTTGTAAAAATAATAAAATATATTATTAGAAATTACCTCACTAAGTTGATCCCATTTACGTGGAAAGATAATGAGGTAACTTTACTTATATGACCTTTAAGTAAAATCTTTTGTTGACCAGTATCACTATCCCAACCATAAATTTTCGTATCATCTCCGGCCCCAAACAATAAATTCTCTTTGTACGGATGAAACGCTAACACACTGAAATATAATAAAATTAAAACAATTGAATGTATTTGTGCCTACATTGAAAATAATAGAAATATATAAATTATATACCTTATAACACCTTGTATTCCTTTAAAAAGTTTTAGACAAGCTTGATGTTGTATGTCCCATAATCTAATACAACCATCACTTCCTCCTGAGGCCATCAAATGATCATTAAGATAACTAATATTTGTAACAGGTCCATTGTGTATAGATTTCCATATTTTAATCAACTTATTTTCTATAACGAAAAAGAAGAAATAAGATATATAAGAAAATAAGATAACCAAGAGATAAATGTATCTATAAGTATCCAAATAAAAAATATTATTATAAAGTAACCTTCAATATTCCATAATTTAAATAAACCACTTTTACAATGAGCAAGTATATGCGAATCATCATTGTTAAGTGCAAAACAATTAACTTCATCGAGGTCTTCTTGATTTTCTGTTTCTCCAAAAGATTTAATCGTAAAGCCTTTTTCTATCGATACAACCGAAATAGCTCCATATTTTTTACAAAACATGTACTTCCCATTCTTACTCCACTGTAAATAAAATAATAATGTATACTTATTGTAATGTTCACAATTGTTAACACGTTTATTATAAAAATTGTTTGACTAACGTGGATAGTCCCTCCTGTAAAGCAAGCATCCAAGGTGGAATCTATCTCAAAACTAGAAATGAAAAATAATTTCTTTGAAATTATATTAAAATAAGAATTATAAAATGTACTTATAATCATAAATAAAACTTACGCTTCTTTCAAGATACTTTTAGACATGATTAGATTTTTATAATAAATGGATATATAAGACAATCTATATTTAAGTAAACCTTCTTTATTTATAAAGATTAATTAAAATTTATGGCTCTCACAAAATCCACTGGAAATTAGTCTAAGACAACAACACCATGTGTTCAAGTTTTAAAAACATGACCCACGATGCCGAACTAAAAACACGAAATATAAAAATTAATAGAGATTACCAACTCGAGAAGAACTCAAGAATATTGTATTCTTTGACCGTCACCATGTTAAGTAGGGATACATAATAAGTTAGGTTCCTGACGCAACTCTAACGCCTTCTGGTGATCCCAATGCTAACTAAGATGATTTTTGTTAAGACTTATGAGCTTCTATATAATTCTATATTCTTAGATTTAAGCAACAATTTTTGTTAAATTATTATTGATAGGTGAATACGTTGATATTTATTTATTGATATTATAATAAAAGTAAATACAAGAATAAGGGAGAGTAATAAATAAAAAACTTAGATGACTAATGGACTAATTCAATATTTCCATTAATAATGTTGGCAATATATGAAAGGATGATAAGTTGACAAGACTGATAAGCTCAAGTTTGTCGACTGCTAATTATGTTTTGACAAGTACACGTAGCTGTTACCTAAGTTTTATCAACTCTCTATTTTCTCTTTCTATTTCTCTCTGTCTGTCTGTCTGTCTTTCTCTTTCTCTCCCTCGTTTATCTATATTTTTAAAGAGCAAAGGATTTAACGCTAAAATAGTATTATTTAAAAAATTTGGAGAATAACATTCAAATAAAATCGTCGTAAATAGAATGTTAATGCAAGGCTCAACTAATAAATCTTCATTCGTCTACATCAAGTAATGATATTAATTATTTCTTTATTATTATTTGTTTTTAATTTGTTTGTAAATAAATATAATTATCTATTTAAGATATGAAGAAGAATGAGTTGGTTTGATGCGACAGGATTTGCCAATTTGGCAAAATCTGCTTTAAAAGAAGCTCAAAAAACTATAGACAAAGCTTTGGATATTAAAGATGAGGAAGAAAAGGTAATTCAAACACACACTGACGAAGCTTCAGACTTTTTTACAACTTGGGATTTTAAAACGGAAGAGGAAAGTAGTTCCCAGAGTAAAGGATTAAATCCGAAACAAGCGAACACTAGTAGTATATGGGGAAGTTTTACAGGATCATTTTTTGAAATTCCCAAATTTGGAGATAAGAGTACAACGAGTAATATTAAACATTCCAAGTCGTTACAAGGTACGTCTTCTGAAACTTTAGAGAAATGTCAACTCACACCATCAGCATCACTTCCTGACAGTCTAACTGTCAAAGAAGTAGAGAAAGAATCAGTAAAAAATAGCGAAGGATCATCTGTCTGTGTTTCTAAAGTATCATTCGATAAACTTGATGTTAATATATCAGCAAAATCTCCTAACAATGAAATTCCATTAGATGAAAAGCATTTGTCAGTAAATAAAGATAATAATAAAATTGAAAAACATGAAACAGAAGAAGATACGACAAAGTGCAATACGAATGAAGACGATTCTCAAAACATGACCGATGCTTTTAACATAAAAGATAATAAAAGTAATGTCAGTGAAAATGAAGTGGAAGAACAGAAAAAAGAAGTTCATCAAGAAGAATTGACAACATGTAATACATTAAATAGAATATCTGTCATTTCTTCTGATAGCGATAAAAAGAGTTTAGAAAGTGTAGAAATACTTGGCTCTCAATCAAATACCGATTGTACTACCACTCCAGAATCGGATGGTAATTCAGTCAGTGATTCTATAGGTCCGTGCGGTGTAGGTTTAAAAGTTAATTCGGAATCGGTAGAAATATTACCGGATAGTTTAGTAACATCTCCAAGTTCAGTAGAAATTTTAGGAGAATGGAAAAGTGATAGTAGTCCTAATTTATCACCTATAGAACAAAAACATTCAGAATCGTCTTCTATATTGGATAGAGATGATTCTATAACACCTTGCGGAGACAATATTAATATGTGGGGAGAAGAAGATAATAATATCCAAAAAGAAGTCTCATCTTTTGATATATCTCCAAACCTATTATCTACGGAAAAAAATCAAACAGATCCTAACAGCGCTAGTAGTACATCATTACCTGATACCTCGATTACATCTCAAACAAGTAATAGTCTATCTGTCATAGACAGTAATAAAGCTTCACCAGAAAGTGTTGAAATAATACCAGATGTTGATGAATTGGATGAATTAAGTCTAGCTGAAGATTCTTATACTTCTGCATCTGAAAGTACTGTGATGACTATTATGGAAACATTTCAACAATATGATCAAACGAGACCAAAATTGGATTTTACTAGTATGAATGTCAAAATGCATGAATCTTATCAAGATAGTAGTAAACAAGTTTTGCTAAAATCTTCTACAGAATCGCAGTTAACTACAAGTCTTGATTCTTTAAAAGAAAAACATAATTTACATTTACCAATAGAACCTATTACTACTCAACCAATTTATAAACCGGAACCTTTAGAATCTGTTAACAAAATAATTGAAGTAGATCCATTTAGTCAGTTAATGAGTACAACGATAGAACCACCGGAAATTGAAGGTGATGTTGAAAATGAACGGTTGCAGAGAACAGAATCAGTCGAATGCACCGATCAAGTTTTAATTTTAACAGACTCTAGTTGCGAAGGAACGCTTATTGAAAGTAGCTCTGAAGATAATGCAACGTTAGTTTCCTCTGTTGCTACTAAAGTTGTTGAAACCCATTTAACAAGTAGTTCCTATGTAAAAACAATGTTAGCAGATGCAATGGTAGAAAAACATGAAATTATAGATGTACAAACTCATTCTGCTGGCGCACCACGTGAAAATTCACCAATTTCTTCAGAAAGGTGCATCTTTCTTTCCCTTTTATAATATTTATAATTTTCATATATGTTTTAACATTGTATTTTCTAGTTTTAGTCGTTCTGATCTGGTAAAAATAGGATCTGATCAAACTAGTGGACATACAAGTGGAGACGAAATAGAAACTACAACATCAAGTGATATCGAAGTAATATCCAGGTATATAAATCATTAAAAAATACTCCTAAAATTATAAAACTTCTATGACAATGTATCAATAATTTTCTTTAGTCCTAATGGAGATTCAAGCTCTACTCAATCAAGGCAAAGTCCTGCCAAATTACAGACATCCAAAGGAAACGATTTATTGACAAAAACTTTAAAAACAAGAGGTCACTCCAGAGAACTTAGTGAGATTAGTATAGGATCAGATGAAACTAATTTAGAAATAGAAAAATTATTAAAACGTATACAAGAAATGACTGAGGTATTAGAAGCGCGAGAGTCGAAATTAATCGATGTTAGTAGAATTAATATGGAATTGCATGAGCAAAACAGTAATTTAAGAAAGTAAGTATTAGTTTAAGGTGTGCGATAAATTTCTGTATTTAATAATAACTAAACGAAGGATTGTTTCATTGCTAAAAAGAACATCATTCGTGATTCCAATTTCAGACAACTGGATAGTTTTGAAAAACGTGCAGAACAAAGTCAAAGTTTGAATCAAATTACAGACGAGTATACGCAACGTTTATCGGCTTTGGAAAGAAAATTTCAACAAGCTATTAGAGAAAGAGATACGTTACGAAAAAATCTGGATCAATTAAAACAAGAAGCAGCTACGCGCTTGTCGTCCCAAGAAATGTCTACTATTAACGCGGAAAAGGATGAAATAATTAAAGAGCTTAGAGAAGAAGGAGAGAAACTTAGTAAACAACAATTAACGCATAGTAATATAATCAAAAAATTGAGAGCCAAAGAAAAAGAAAATGATGCACTTATTAAACATCAAAAGTACGTATACATAAAATAATATTCTCACAATAACTATATGATATTGAAGTATTACTTATTAATGTATAATTTTGGTTTAAACCTCAATGCAATTGCAGGGAAGTTATTGAAGAACAAACTTCGGAGTTAGAAAGACTGAAACGATCGTTGTATGCAAAGGAAGAAGTTGAACGAACGCAAATAGAAGCTGTACATACATTGACAGCAAAAACGAAGAAACAAGAAAAAGAAATTTTAACTTTGCAAGAAAAATTAGATAATACTATGCATAAAATGGACGCTTACAAAAAAAGTTTAGAAGCTGCTAAATTGTTAGTATACAGTTAACGATTTCGATTCTTATCGTTTGTAATAAGTATTTCATATTTAATGTCTATACGTCAGTTTTTATTCTACAGAGAGTTAGCAGAAACAAAGAAGAATTTAGTAACCACTGAACAAGAATTGAAAGAAGCTGTAGACAGTGCCAGCGAATCGTGTCAACTTTTTGCACAAGTGGAAGAGCTAAAGATTAAGCTGCGTCAAACAGAAGAAGCAAATGTTAAGTTAGTTGGATCTTATTATATTACTCGTTCTTATATAACTCCATTCATAACTTATCCATGATAAAACATATCTCTTTTTAAATGATATAGGAAAGAAGAATTCCATAAACACGTGAACAATAGCTTACTTAAAAGATTAGAAGAAGCGGAAACAAGAAGCGAAGAATTATCCGAATCAATTTCAACAGCTACGAAACCGTTATTGAGACAATTGGAACAACTACAAGCAAATTTAGTGCACAAATCAAATACTTTTATGAAACAGGAAAAAGTACTTAACGAAAATAATGCTGAATTGCAAACTAAACTAGAAAATTTACTAGAAGTTGATCGTGGTTTAAAAGAAGAAAATATAAATTTAAAAGCTAAAATATCTCATTTAGAATCGAAAATTAATGCCAAAGAAGCAGAGAAAGAACAATTGGAAAATCAAATTAAAAAACTAACAGAAGAGAATAAAACTCTTGCGGATGAAAGTTTACGGTAGGGGATTATTACGAGAAGTAAGAGATGGTAAGAAGAACGAAAAATCTTCTATATTTTAAATATATTCTTTTATACAGTCATCAGCAAAATATGGAAATGCTTCAACAGACCCATTCAAATCAGATTAAAGAATTTAAAAGAGAGATAAATGCGTTAGAAAATAAAGTTGCTATTGAACGTGCAGCAACGGATGCAGAAAAAAGAAAAAACCATGCTATGTTAGAACAACAGCAAAGTATTGACGAAGAACTTAGACTCAGCCCTACTCTTAGTATTGAAAGAGACTCTGTGAGTAGTGCGAGTAGTGTATGGCCAGCTGTATGTATATTAACATTTTTCTTTAATTGTAATTACAAAAATTAATTCTTTCGTATTACAATAAATAAATATTCTTATATCAATATGTTTTCAGTTCAGTGATTCAGTATTTGATAATGGATCAGGAAGGTTCCCTGTAGCCTACGGCAATTTTAGAGCAGGAACCAATAGTACATCTGTGGTTGAAAACTTACAGGCGCAATTAAAGCAACGAGATGGTATGCTGAATATTTTTTTTTTTTATATTATGAAAAATTCATTTAAGTATGTATGTATACTAGGGTGGGTCAAAAAAATGAATTTTTTTTTTCAAGCGCCACGGAAAAATGGGTTGCTAGACACCTCAAAACAATTCTCACCAAATCTGAACTCTTAATTTTAATAGGAAGATCCTCCGCATCGCAGTTTTTTATTTTTTTTTTCAGTCTAATAGATTAAAATTCATACCTCATTATTTATTGATTGTATAGAAAAATGTTCTAGACAAATTTTGTAGGAAATTTAATGCTCTATAAAAATGGTGTCTTATGTTTTGACGATTAAATTAAGCGTTCAAAAGATATTCAGAGACAAAAATCAGTAAACATGAAAGTTTGATGATGAATATCTTTTGAACGCTTAATTTCCTACAAAAATTTGTATTGCGTATCTTATAATAGTCATTATCAAAATATAAGATACATTTTTTATAGAGCATTAAATTTCCTACAAAATTTGTCTAGAACATTTTTCTATACAATCAATAAATAATGAGGTATGAATTTTAATCTATTAGACTGAAAAAAAATAAAAAACTGCAATGCGGAGGATCTTCCTATTAAAATTAAGAGCTCAGATTTGGTGAGAATTGTTTTAAGGTGTTTAGCAACCCACTTTTCCGTGGCATTTGAAAAAAAAAAATTCATTTTTTTGACCCACCCTAATGTATACTTATTTTTCATCTCTAGGTGAAATACAACAACTTCAATGGGAATTATCACGTCGTAACACTGAAAGAGATGCTCTTAATACAGAATTATCTGCGTTAACTTTAAAAATGGAAATATTAAACAATCAAGTTGAAATGGTGGAAGCTTTAAATGAAAACATTAAAGAATTACAGACTAGATACGATGCATTATTACAAATGTACGGAGAAAAAGTGGAAGAATATCAAGAGCTTAGATTAGATCTTGAAGATATCACAGATATGTATAAAAGTCAAATTGAACAACTTCTTAAAAAAGATACTTAATCAAAAATAATAATAATAAATATATATATATTGCTTATATAAATGCTGCCCAGGTGGATTTAAATAAAGAAAAAGAAAAATTATGGCTAATATGTCTCATATACTTGCATTGATCTAGATGTGTGTTGAAACTTATGTAATTTAAATAATTTCTCTATTGTTTCTGTATGTTTGCATACAAGAAAATATTTTAAAATAAGAAAGAGAATTTGCAAATAAAATACTGGATAGCAAAAAAATAGATAAATATATATAGCTTAGTATTAAAATTAATTAAAATAATATATATATATATACATAAAATTAAAAAATTTGATTATAGTATTTAAGAATAATATAAATAAAAAAATATCTAAGAAAATCATTTTATAAAAATCGGTGGAAATCTCTTTCTAAAAGAGTCGGTTATAAATTATATGATATCTATTAAGATAATTTCTTGTTAAATATTGTTTTATCTTTCTATAATAGTTGTTATTCAATGCACTAATTATATATAATAGAAATTTTCATTGAATTATTATTATTCATTGTAATTTGTACATGTGAATTAAATGTGTATTTATATGTACATCTATATGCATATCTATATAGGTATATAGATATATATGTACATATTATCTCTATTTGAAGAAAATAGAATAGAAAGGAACGAGGATACGGGAACACATATATTATGTTTCAATATTATAATGTACAAACTTGAATTACAATGAAATTTATTCAAACTCATATTCGTCTGTCCTACCTTCTGTTACCATACTGATTACAATGAAATTTTGAATTGCATTAGTATACAAACATAAAACTAAATATACTTCATACAATGGCATTATTTTTCATATACCTGAAGAAACTATTATATTTTATTAATATTTTTTTTTAAATTAATCAATTTGTGACATCCTCCTCCCCATAAACTTATAATGGTAAAGCAATCAAAAATTCTTGTAGAAAACTAATATATTATATAATCTTAGCTGATACAACAATATTCAATTCTACAAAATAAACGCATTATTGTTTTAACAAACTTTTTATTATAGGCAAGAAGAGATCATAATTTGCTCTCAAATTTTATTCTTACGAATATTTTATAATTTAAACATACGTATTAAAAAAAAAAAAAAGAAAAATAAAGAATTTTAATATATATACAACATAACATAAATTCTCCAGAAAATTAGTTTGTACAAAGTAAATTTTGTTAAAACTAATAATATAGAAATTTGGGAATTGGAAAAACAATCTGAAGATTTCTTTTTTTATTGATAATATCTTAATAGAGGAAAATGTATCATAAAAACTATTTTGTCCCTTAATTGAATACCCATATAATAGGACTTATTAAATTGGAACTGATAATCTATAAAAGTTTCCACAAATCATTTCTACCTAAAGTAATATATTTACAATGTTTCCTAAATAAAATATATATGTTTAAAAATTCAGAAAATATATATTCATGGAAAATAACAAATTAGAAGAGTGGTAGTTTATTCGAACAGCTTGATGTTATTTTTGGAAATGATATTTTTTAAATTATTATTATTCCACAATTTTTGTCAAGATAAATTGATAGTATAGCAATATTAAATATTACTTTCTAGTATTGTTGTTTAGCATAGTATTGTATATTGCATACTGGGCATTCATTTTTGAAGGGAAAAAATAGAATCAAACTATTTGCTTTTTTTTATTTCTTTAAACAATTATATCTATTTGTAAAAATATGTAAAGATTAATGTTAAATAATTCTTTTCAATTAAATTTTATCACGGAATAAGATATTGGAAATAATCCTCCTGTGCTCTAAAAATAAATAAAACTTTATATTGTTATAAAGAATTAATCATTATAAAAATAAAATCACTGAAATAATTGATTCATATATAATGTATATTATGTGTAGGAGGATTAAAATTTAATGAAATAAAAAAAAGATATTTATGTCATGTAGGAAAGTAATGATTGAGAATTCACAATTGAATAAATTGTAACACTAATATTGCATTTAAATAAAATTGCAATGCCATGTATACCACAGAACGTGTGACAGGATAAACGTCAAAGAATAAAATCTCCAAGTTGTATCTGAAATAAGATTCTTGACGAAAATTCATTTATAATTATTTTATACGAAAATGTACATTATTTTATTCTTTAATTTATATATAGTTGGTTAAATTTGTTCCTCTGTGTATATCAGATGTAATAGAATTATCAATAATTTATTAAATTGTTAAAACAGCGATCATTAATTAGGAAAAAGAAATATATTCACATAATTATTGCCAATGGGAAATAACAAACGAAAAATAATTAATTTAGATAAATTAAAACGAATAATAGATTTTCAAAATAAAAGATCTGTTTTTCTTTTTTTACTATTACCATTAATGTTCGCATACATCAATTTTAAAATTGGAGAATTTATTAATTTTCTATCAACGTTTGGTCCTTGGTCCCTCTTTTAATACCCGAATGTACTTTTTGTTTTTATTTATATATGAAAAGTGAAGTGTCATACCTTCTAATTTTAATCCATGATCTTATTTTACTACCCTGTCTGCACGTCTCTCCTGCATACATGTGTATAAAATTATAAATTATACTGTTATAAATGATAAAGTGGTCTTCTACTGAACGTATATCAGCAATGAAACTCATAAATAACGACATCAGGTTTATAGTATTCTGACAAGAAAATGCTTCTCATGCTGTACATTATAGTCATAGATGTTATCACGATCATCATAAGTCGTTGACACTTACATCGTTTTATAGATCTTCTCAATACGATTCTCAGCTGAACATTTTTTCTCATTTATATTTCTCATTGATACTTCATTATTGTAAACACCCGGTAGACTCTATGTTTTTTCCAAACATTATAAACCCTTGATTAGAATAATACCTTAAACTTTAGGAAAAAGAAACTTAATACCCAATGCCGATCAAATTATTCTTCCCATTATTGTTCAGCTGCAAGTGACGTTTCAACGTTAATGTATTAAATTATTACGTAACAAACGTAATATTTACCTGTACCAATTGGGCATTATAGTATTATTTTCTCTTTTTTGTTAATCATTTATTATATACCTTCTTATCGCACAGACCACCATGTTCCACTTGTGTATTATCTCAACTTTGTAACTTTTGGATTATATCCCATCTTACTTGTGACTATACATTATCTTGATTTTTTTATCGAAACTTTTTCAGGCTTAACATTCAATAAGATTTCTTTCAATACGTTCTGCATGTTCTCTTTTTTCATTCAATAATAATCACCCTATTTCCCAACATTATGTGTATTCTGAACTCTACTCTGTTAAAAATATTTTTTCAAAAACATACATGTTTTCTTCTGCACCATTTAACAAAAACAAATAATACAATAGAGCTTATTGAAGTAGAGTATCTGAAGCAATCTGATAGAATACCATGACCAGTAAGATAGGAGAGGATTTTATGAACAACGTAGATGATCATTTTGAGATAATCATAGAATCAGAGCTCAGAGTATTTTTATAGTCAGCTCGTAAGATTTTTCGTTGTGTTGGCACAGCCGACCATTAATCGGACTTGTGTTGACTTTTCTCCTAGGTGAAATACTAGGTCGTATTACACCTGATCGTACAGACGTCTTTGCCTCTACGTTGTAGAGCACCGAATGGTACAAATTAGTAGTACCATATGAGACGAGAGATTAACCATCAACGCGTTTGCGTTTACTTTCGTTCCTTCAAACCCATGGTGTCCAACCCTCATATAAGAGAGCTAAATTATCAGTGCTTTGTGCTTCACGTATTACATATTCCACTTGCTCGGCCGTTGTATACTTACGCGTTGGATGTGGGTCTCGTCCCTCTAATTTCATTCTTACGCGTCGCCATACATTTAGCGCATACGCATTTCGTTCTTGCACAGCTATTCAAAATAAATAAGCGAATCGATTATTTATACAATAGAAATAATATTATTTATGTAATATATTAATATTTAAAAGATAATATATTTGTTTACCTTTTCCCGTAGTTGGATCCCTAGCTAAAGGAATTCCTTTTTTAGGACTAAGACAAACGCTATCTTGTCTCATTAATTTAACTCTCTTCTTAAGAGAACATTCCTTATCTGATCCTTTATTCGAATTCAATCTATGGTCACTAGCAAATTCCAACAACTCATTATATAAGTTAGGTACCATAATCGCCATGTTTTCTAATTCGGACTTTATGGCAATGCCTCTTTTAGGATCTAAAATGTCCGATTCCAATTCTTTCACGACCGTAGATAAAGTTTCAGTGAATGATCGATAAGTATTTAAAAATTCTTGCAATCCGACAATATTTTCTTGTTTGACCATAGTCTTTAATAGTACTCGGACGTCAGACATTAATTTATGATGTTCTGCAAGTATATTCTGAAGGCTTGTCACTCGTCCTCTTAAGCAATCATGTGCGTTGCGTAAAATATCTTGTTTTTCTTGTAATTTCTTTTGCGTATCAATAATCGCCTCGGAAATAAGTTTCTCCGCTTGTTTCAACCAGTTAACGTCAACATTGTTTTCTAACTGTAATAATTCAATAAGACTTTCTTCTATTGGACTAACAGTAATCGTTAAATTTACTGTTAACAAACAACTCTCTTCCCAATGCTTAACAAGCTTAATAAAATTGGCATCGTGCGTAACGCTTTCCGATGTTCTAGTCCTCAATGCTTCGTAATGTAATATAGAATTACAAGTGTTGATAACAGCTGCTGAGAGATTATGTTGTTGCGTTAATTTTTCGCATGAAGATAATACAGCATTATCAAATGCTGACATGACCTCGCCTAATGCTGGATTAGCACCAGCAGCCCATTTCAAACGCTGAATAGCGCTGGATACCAGATTTTGTTGCTGCTCGCGTGCTTCACATACTCTTGATTGTAAATTGGATAGAGCTGCAGCTGTTTTTCTTAATTCCAACATAAACGCGGAACGATCTACAAAAAAAAAATAATAATAACAATAAGATTTGAAAATAATTTGTTGAAAATATTATTTAAACATAACTTACTTAATGGATTCATGGGACTCATGTTAGATCTCAGTAGAAAATTATCTTCGTGCAACCAATTATGTGCTGTTAATTGGAGTTGCAGTCTTTGTACACTAGCGCGTGACAATTCAACACCTTGTTGTGCCAATCTTGAGCTTTGTTTTCTTCTCCAAGTACTTTCTAACGTACTACTCAATGTACTAGCTTGAGCTAAAACAGATCCCGTAAAAAGACCTTGTTTTAAACATAAATCGACCATTTTTCTACATAATTCGTCGAGTGAAACTTTACTCTCTGCTCCAATATCTCTTTGTTCAATCTCAGTAGTAACATTTAATCCCATTCTTTGTAATAAAAAGCATAATGCAATGGCAACTGTTTGAGTCGTTACTCCAAGGAGTTGTCTTGAGACATAATCAGCAGTAAATACTCTTACTGGTTTATTTAATCTTTCATCGTCATAAACATTTGCAATTTCCCCTTTAAATGCTGTTGCAATATCTCTACACATTATAAAAAACTCTTGTATTGTATATAATCTCTTTATCAGGAAAATATCTTCTAAAACTTGTCGTGCTGCTTTATTAAATATGGGTCCAGCCATTTCTTTAGCTTCTCTAATTTGATCGATTTTTTTCCAATTAATTGGAATATCAAGGGAACTTAATGTGCTTACCAGAGCATTACCTTCCATTTGTAACTTTTCAAACAATCCATTGAAACCCATTAAAAGCATTTGACCAGGTGTTAATGTCTCGTCGTGATTAAGTTCTTGAATATCTGCAGGTCTAGATAGTAATGTTTCAAAACGTGATCTCATATTAGATACTAAGTTTTGTATCATAGTATGTGGACTTTCCATTTCCATTACAGTAAATCTCATGTGTATTTCTAGTTCTCCAAGAATATCACAGAGAGGTATTCCTGTCGATAAAATTATTTCATTTAATTCGTTAATCATTCTTATTACAGTTGGTTCTTCTATGATAATTGTTTTCATGGCTTCTGGTAAAATAATCGTGTGAAAATTGTAATTAAGTTCTTGCAATCCTTTGTAAATGGAGTCTGCACTTTTAAGACATTTCAATACGAGGGATATTTTTGGATCATTGTTTGTTTTATGATTTTCTGGTATTAATGTAATAAATTCAGATATTAAAGAGGATATTAATCTCATTTCATCTAAAAACCAATCTCCTTCTCTCGATGTAAGATCAACTAAACACTCTCCTGCACATTTAGCAGCTCCTTCCATTATTAAATATCTTTTGTTTAATGCACAAAGTGCTGTTATATTAACGCTTTCGAATGCTCTTTCTGCACCTTTTTCACGTCTTAAAAATCCTGCGATCTGAACTCTTGATTCCGTATATGCCTTCTCGATTCTACTGATGGCTTCTGGTAGACCTTCGGAAACCATCCTTTCGTAAGCTTTTTTAAATCTCTCATTCGCTTCATTTAAGATAGCTTGCATATGATAAGAAAATGCTACTATTTGTTCTTGAGAATTATTTCCATTCATTTGGCCAAAATTTGCTTCAAATTGATTCATTACTTCATGACAAGTCTCTACCGTTGGTGATGCCAACAACTTATTTGCCCAAGCATGATAAACAATCGTACGGTGTTGCGAAACGATACTTATTGGATAAAGATTACATATTGCTGAATATTGACTCATAAGATCCAAACAACTACGAATAAGAATAGACTGTTGAGTAGCTAATTGAGTTAATTCGTTTTCGGATTGCTCGCACTGTATAATCATCTGATTTTGACCAGCATTTTGTAGAAATTCTTTAACAAGATCAAAAACAACATGATCTTCTCGTGTAGCTGACGTTCCTAATTCTGCTAACCATTGGCCTAATTGTGGTCCTCTTACGGAAGCCAATGCGATCTAAAAGTATCAATTACCAAATTAATTAAAAAATTTTGTACAATCATTACTTGTAATTTAAAAAAAAGAGAACTTACATTATGCATATTAATTTGCTTTTCACATTCTTCTATTTTTTCTTTCAATCCAATTCTGGCTTTTTCATGTGCATCTCTTGCACGCTTAAATGTATTATACCTTTTTACCACTGAATATAAAACATGATTACGTCCCATTGCTTGTGCCTCTTTTACTAAAGCAAGTTGTTGATGTCTATCTTGCAATAAATCTTGACACTGTTGCGATGCTTCAGTAGCCTCAATCCAACATGTTAAATGATGACATAACAAAGGAAAAGTTTTAACTAATTCATCCCTATACAAATACATAAGTTATTTTTACATATATTCATAAAACAAATATATAAACTTCTCAATAATAATACGAATATACCTGTTTGCAAGCCATTCTGCTCGCATTTCTGCAATTCTAACAGCAAACATAGCTCGTGTAAGTTCCTGTTCTAATTGTTTCCGTCCTATACCAGTACATCTTGCTCTAGCTTGACATGCTCCATAACTTGCGATACTATTATCAGCTCCAGCTCTCCAATCTACCAAAGGATCATAGACAAATGCTTCCAATAAAGTAAGCAATGTTTCTTTTCCTCTACGCATAACTCGAAGGGTATGTTCACAGGCCAATCGAAATATACCCTGTTGCATAATTATATTAATTAGAAAATAATACAGTATGTAAGTATAAATACAAATATAGTTAATAATGTGAATTAACTTACCTCTACACCGGTTACACCTAACGCAGCTTTAATATTGGGTGTCATTCTGAAAGGTACCTTTTCAGGGACACGTAAAGTCTTTCCCTTTTCAAAGCATACATTATAATCTATATGTACTACTTCTCCAGTATTCAGATCAACTAATACATTATCTAAATGTCTATCGCCCAAGCCTATGATGTAGCCAATAATAGACATAACAGCAACGGAATATGAATAATTTTTAGTTGCTTGCCACCAACATCCGGCGTTAATGCTGTTACACCAAATTTCTCTAAAATTCAACAATGTTTATATGTAAGCAATATTAATCATTCATAAAGTCGATATAACTTTTAAATAAACAATGATACTTTAACAAATTTACTAACTTAGCTAATAAATCCTTTGGAGTCTCTGTCATTAATTCTGATAATACTTGTTTGAGTATTGGAAGAGGCCATTCTTTTCTATTATCCAATGCTATTCCTCTTTCGTTCAGTAATGGTGTTAATTTATTATAGAATAATTCGGAAGGTCGTAAAATTGCTGTGTTCCCAGTTTTATTTGCCATAGCACTTTCTCTCTGCTGCCAACGTTTGTAAAGGACAAATAATGGTGTAACACCATCGACCCACTGTATAAGACCAGATCGTGGTCCCAAAGGAATGACAGAATAATGACGTGCTCTATAAACTTTTTTGGTATCGCTATTTTTAGACATCATAGTATTACATATATTTAAAAATTGCATGATTCTTTCATCAAGATGTAAATCTTCTAATCCTTTAAATAAATACGTATAAGTATGACCATCCGAACCATGAAACATAAGCTTCTTTGGTTTTGTTTTAGTTGGTAGTATTTGTACGTTATTATTAACAGATTTAATAGTAACAACTTTATTGCCAATAGCAGCAACACCTGGCATAGCAATACATGTGTCCTTTAAATTAGCTAGGATTGGACTAATATCTGTCATCGATAATGAATAAGCAGTCCGTTTTTGTACACGTTGTGCTAATTTTGTTTCCAAATGTTTTAAGGATAGTGCAGCCATTTGAGGTTTAGCAGGATTTTTTGGATTATTTAATCTACTAATAACTTCTTGAATGGTTGGGCCGAATTTATCTTGAAAATTTTTTTCATGTGGAGTTTCTGCCGATACAGATGTCATTGATAAGAGATTTTCAAGGATGAATACAATTGGTTTTAATATGATCCTATGCTTTTCAGCAATTAATTTATCTTTCTCTTCTGGAGTAAGCCAAATATTGTCTTGTACTTTTTGAACTTCAAACTCTAGCTGTTCAAATCTCTTACTAATTTCTGTATGATGTTGACACAATGTTGCTAGCCATAATTCATCCCATAACAACGTAATTCTACGAAGTTCTCTTACAAGTATTTTCACTTGACTAACGGAATCTGGGATTCTATTCGATAAACAATCAACTAATTGTGCGAAACAAGCATCCATAAAGCCTTGGTTTTCATCATTATAAGTACATTCAGTATCCTCTTCTATGTAATCTAAATCATTGTGCTGAGAAATATCATGATCAATTCTTTCGTAAACCATTTTGTCATAATTTTTTCTTTGACCAGAAACAGCTCCTACTACTGCAGGGAAAGTTATCAAATGAGGAGAATTTTCTGCCACTCTACATAAAAGTTCGGAAACTTGGGTCCGTACATATGCTTCCGGATGACTTAATCTTGAAAATAGTTGTGGTATAATTTCTTTCCATGGACCAGTAGGTGTAGTTGAAAGTCCAGATTCAAGTACATTCTGAAGTTCTAAAGCATGTTTTACAACAAGTCGTAAAAGTCTTAATGTAGCTGTAATAGTATCACAATTGTTGTTTCCATTATTTGCTAATTGCAAATATTTAAAGTAAGCATTAGCAGATAATTCATAATAAGAATAAATTCGTTTCTGTGCTTGCCTCCATATGTCGACTAACATTCCAAGATGTTCATTATTGGCATGACATAAAATTGGAACATTTCTCAATTGATTTTCTATCATCTCTGATGTATTTATATCATTCGTATCAATATCACCCTCATCTTCTGGAATAGTTTTATTTTGGCTCAATATGGAAAATACCGCATTAAGATCACTTTCAGCAATATCTATAGGCAACAATGATTGTATATTTATTCGATCTGTATCTGTAAGTTGGCCAGAATTAGAATTATCAACTATTTTTCTTCCCCATTTGTAGCACCAGGCTGCAAAGCTGGACCATGCTAAAGGCAGATCGGGACATTGATTTACGCCTAGCTGCATTAACTTTCCAATAATCATATCCGATGTTGGTATTAAATCCGTCGTGTCTCCAAATAATTTATTCATTAAGCCATCGTTATGAACAGCTTCGAATCGTAGTAAATCTTCTAACTGATGATTATCGGTTATATTAGTATCCTGTTGTATCCATTTACTAAGAGTGAGCAAAAGTTTAGTTCCAGTTTCTCTTAGATCTGCTAATTGTTCTCCACCTACGATAGACCGAGAAATTCCAAGCGCTGTTGCACTGCATACTTTCAATGCCTCATCTATATTTTCCATGTCGTATAGCAATTTAGCAAATTCTCTGAATGCCCGCATATTATTTTTCGACCATTTTACGTTCAGAGACTCAGTAAGCATTTTGTCTATAATCTCTGTAAAATTGCAACCCTGTAAATCTTTGATTTGGAATAAGTCTTGTTCGATTTCGAAGTACTTTATCATTTCTCGTTTAGCTAAATTAAAATTGCCGTCTTTTCTTGCACTTCGAACCACGTGTAATCTCAAACTGGCCACTTCGTTGGAAATAGAATTATTTGTTTTACAGAAATAATCTGACCACCATAAAATTTGTGTCAATATACTGGTACTTAAATTGTTAATTTTGTCCTCTTTATATAATTCAAATACATTGTTTTGTTTTCCAGCTAGTAAATTTTTCAAACCGGTAGCACAATATTGTATCAATATGGAATCGCTTAAATACTCCGAAGGTACATTTCGTAAACCTTCTTCCATAGTTTTAGCAGCAACTTTCTGACATCTCTGTATATCTTTTTCAAACGAAGTTTTATATTCATTGATATGAGCGCTCATTGCAATATTAGTTAAAGTGTTATTGCATTCGATAATAGTCTTAGCACAGCTCCAATTTGTTCTGGTTTCTTCATCCAATAGGTTCCAATTAGACAACTCTTCTATGGAAATAATTTCTCCAGTTTCAAACTTTCTTAAACATTTTGCCTGCTGAGGAACTATGTCTTCCATCATTTGTTTCTTTAGGGGGATATTCTTTTCTTGCATCAAGATATCATTTTCTATCATTTTCCATGTTTCTAACTGAGTCCAATCATTGACAGCTCTGTAACACTTAGTAAGGTGTTGCATACAAAATGTTGCCACTTGATTATCACCATCTATTTTTGCACCTCTTACATCTTCATCTATGTTATACCATTGCTCTTCGATTATTTGTTTATAATTATCAGCTGCTGATTCATGATGACCAGCAGCTTCTTCCATCGCTGCTTTCAACCAAGGAAACTTTCTATCTTTTTCTTTTGTATATATATAAAGTCCTTGTAATGCTTCTGCTTCTCCTAACATGACCATAGCTTGAGCTGTACAAAGAGTTGCCCTCTCAAATTCTATACCTTGAGTATTCTCAAAAATACTTAAATCTTCTAAAAGTCTTTGACCATTCCTTAAAGCTACTGTTGCCAATCCCGAATGTAATGAAACAACGCATAGAGCCAAACGAATGCGATTCAACCATTCTTTGCACGTAGATTTATTAGTATGAAAGAAAGTTCGTACTGGCTTTGACAAGGGTGGTAATGCCACAGCGCATCCTTCCGCAGCATTGTGAATAACTCTCTCTAAATGTTCTAGGAATTCTATAAAAAGTCTTACACGTGTGTGTTCGTGCAACAGGTAATCTAAACCATGATTATCTTTCTTCACTATTTCTGAATTGTATGATATCTCACGAGCCAAAATTTTCAATGCTCCTTCAATGCTTGTGAATGTTTCTTGAGGTTTCCCAAGAGAAGTACGCAGCTTATTAATTACGCAATGTTGCGCAGCTTCAAGGCCGCACCAAAAAAATAAGAAAGAACAATTTGCGAGAGCTAATGAATGCATTTTTGTCATTATCTCATTTTCAGACCTTTGAATAAAAATGAATTAATAATTTTTAAAATGTATTAAAAAATAAAAATTTTAAAAAATTGAAACTTACACTGTCGGCCAGCACAAAGTAAATATTTCAGCTAAACCAGATGCATCGATATAATGTTCTTGCAATAAAAATGCCATATAAGTTTTAAAATATTGCGCTTGCATTTCACCATTGTTGTTACCTCTCATGTGTAATCTCTGTGCGAGAATTACAGATTCTAATGAATAACTCTCAATCTCTTGAAATTTCTAGAAAATATAGACATACGAAATACACTAAACACACTATAATAAAAAATACGTGATATTTATTGATTTTTTATCTTTGTTCTTAAATAAAAAAAAAAGAAGAATGAATATAATAATAAAAGTGTTCATATTTTGTTTGACATAAAAACAACTTACCTTTGTTTCTGACGGTAAGTATTCTTTATTTAATTTTGGAATAACAATATTAAGAGGCACGTTCATTAACAGTTGACTATACTTTTCACGTACATGCTTGTCGAACGAAGTTAGATGTAACATCGCAAAGTCAACAATACTTGAATAAATTTCGTATCGCCAGACAACATTTTTTGAACTCATTAAAATTTCAAAAATAGAACAAATAGCGATTAAAATATCATAATCTGTTGTAGTACCACAAGCAATTAAACTGGTAATAACATTTTCACATTCCTGAGTTTTACTCAAAATACCAATGTAATTTTCAGACTGTATACAAATCTCTTGCATCCAATTAGATAAAAGTAATAACGTTCTGTTTGAACTTCTCTTGTTATATGTTTTTGCTATAAGATTAAGTATTATAGATAAATGTCCACTTGTAGGTGACGTTGTTGGTACATCTAATGTTCCAGGAAACATATCTATTGGGCGGCATGTAGTTATTCCTGTTATTAAACTAGAACTTGGTACAAAATGATTATACCTGCAAATATTTCAAATTATATTAAATATTTTTAATCTAACATAATTTAAATACTTATATAATTGATTTTATATATTACCTTGAACAATGTGCATAAAGCAGATACAAAATGCTATACTGTAACAATGGACTGGCAATAGATAATGCTGGATCATATGGTTTTAATTTAACAGCAAGGAGTTCTAATATTGTTGGTTTTAACGCCCACATTCCAATTATCGAATTACTTGCATTTGCTAAAAGATAATAAAGATTTGAAACATTTGAACATTAAAAAGTATTATACGTGTGCTTATTTCTAATATACTTTACCAATATCTGAAAGTGCGCGTAGAATAAAAATAATAACAATTTCAGCATCTGACTTTTTATATTGCACATCGGTGAAAGGATTATCTATGACTAAGCAATCGATATCTCTTATAAGTTTGTAAGCCACTTCTAAATCAGCTAATATATATCTGTATGCCTCTTGAAGCAATGGAATATTCTTTAAACTCAAAAGGCTGTGATATACACCAAGGCTAGCATTTTGAATGGTTATAGAATTTCTGAATCTTAACTTTAATAAGGTGGAATTTTTTCCAAGCAATTTATGCACCAGTTCTAAAGGTAAATTAGCTGATACCTCTTTAATCACTTTAGAGATGGTATTCAACATAGAAATAATAGTGTCGTCCCAAAACATGTTAACTCTTTGCAATTGAAGATCGATGAATTTATAAAGAAGATCATGATTTTTAGTCACACGACTTTGAATATATCCTAGAAGCAAAAATGCACATTCGTTTGCAACCACGATCAGTTCTTCTTTTTCTTCTGATAAATCAATATTTTTTTTTCTTTTAAATTCCATTGAAGCGAGTACGTTCATCAGAGATTGTTCCTTTTCTTTCGAAAATATATTTTTATCGATAACAGTTTTAGAATTTTTATTATCATTTTTCTTGCTAATGTATAAACATTTGAGCATCTTTATTAAATTCTCTTCCCTGATTTCTTCCTTATTAAAACTTTTCAAAAGTACTTCAACATGTTTTTGAGTCGAATTCATATGCCTTGCGCATCTAATTACATTGTCATTATTTTCAAGCGGTGCGACAAGATTTTGTGACCATTCCTCGTAACCTTCATTTACTTCAATTGCTTTTACTACAGTTTTCAACATTTTTGATAGGCAATCCATTAAAAAGGACCACTGCACATTAGGTGTAAGATTAGGATTCAAACGATCAGATATACTTTTGGTCACAGTATTAAATACAGATATTAAAGATGTGATACGAAGTATACATTCTTTAGGTGTCGGAAATGTTTCATCGCCAGGTGAAGCTCTACCAGATTCAGGTGAAGTTAATTCTTCATCATAACTTTCCATGTCTTCCAAAAATTGTCCTAACAATGTCAATGTAAACTGTAAATCTGTAATCCAAAATGACCGTAACTTCTGTAAGCTTTTACTCGCATAAGCTACGATAGATCTTTGTTGAGTTGAATCTATATGCCATCCCACTAAAATATCGACCGTATCACGAAAATGACTGGAAAAAGTCTCGGGATATGATTCGATTAATAATAATATGGCATCCACTGTAGCCACTAATAAATCTGATCTATCAACATTTTCCAACGTTGATTGCAATTGCGACATCATAGACTGAAATAAAATATATTATCATTATGCATCTTATTTTCATTAATTATCATTATGCATATATTTTGTGTATTAAAAGAAATTAGATTAAATACCACTGAGAATTCCTTTAATCTTGGTGTTTCTGCATCCAGTTTGAGCATTTCGACAAAAGATTTGATTAGAAGACATTTAATGTCATCTTTTCTTTCCAAGGCATACTTACTAAAAGTCCATTCTAAAAATCTACAAAAATAAAAATAAAATATTTTGTCTATTTATAAACTTATAACAAATTACAATGAATACCTTTTGAAATCTTGATCTACCACATATCCGATACGACCTAAACATTTAGTCACATGCTGCTTTGCATCCGGTCCAAGACCAGAGTGTAGAATATCTAATAAGCTTTCGCAAATATGCTCCAAGCTCCGTCGTATATATCTTTGATTTTCAGGTGCTAGTATACCTTCTTGTAATTGTTTGCAAAGCATCATGAAATGATCATAATCATCTTCACGGCATAATCTCCTCAAAAGTTTAGAAATTCTGGACTCATCTGTAACGCAAACAAAATTCTTGTTAACACAAATCTAAACAAAGAGTAGAGGATATAAAACTACAGAAAATAATAGATTCTAACCATTTATTCTTTTATCGTCATAGTATTTGTTCTGCGAATTTTCTTGATTTTTCAACGATTCTTGAAACTTGGGTTTAAGTGCCGAGTGACAACTGGACTCAGCATTTGCATCACGTTCACATGTTTTCTTAAAACCTCGACCACGTAATCCTCCTCTACCACGATCTCCTGAACTGCTACCACGAGCCATTCGAAATTCATTGCGTGGTATCCCACTAATTCTATAATCAGATATAAATATTACAAACAAATCTTTCAATAAATAAATTTAATAAAAATCAAATCTCTACCTCGGTTTAAACTTAGAAAATGAATGATCCGATAGATAATAGTTGGAATTTCGTTGGCAAATAACCAAAGTGCCACGATGGACATTAGACTCGTTGATACCAAAGTTAGTCAGAGTACCTCCGTCTCCTTTATCGGTATCACTTCCTTGACTATTACAAGGAGACTCTTCTGCTGTCTCTGAGTTCCTCGGTCCACGTAGCTTCGTGTTAGTATTAAAGCTCCCACAGCTATTCATTACATTACTCAGCGGATGGTCTGCATGACCTACATTTCAAACATCTAACCTATAGTTAATTTAAATACAAAATATATATGCATATGAAAATATATTCTTTACTACATTACATTTATTAATTTATACACAAATTAATGTAATTGAATCCATGAATTTTATCACATAAATATACATAGATGCTTCAATTAATTTGTACAACCAACCTCTTATCGTAATAATATTTCATAAAACTACTTTAATCTTGAAACATTTTCATTAATGGAAGTATTAGCATATAAATTTCTTAATTATTATTTCACAAATATATCTCATGAACAATAAGAACAAAAAAGCACTTCTTTTGCCATAGGATAACAATGAAAATTACGTAGACCTTATTTTTACTTCAAATTGATATTTATGATAGTTTTGAAAAGAAGAATAAATAGAACTCTGTAGATAAATAATCCTGATAAAGACAAATGTATTTAAAAAAAAAAAAAAAAAAAAAAGTAACGTATCATAACCAAATACGTAAAGTAAAATCTAATCGAACAGATACTATCGAAAAGAAACTGGACAAAAATTCAACTTTACGAAAATTTTAAATAATTTATAAGATAAATTAAAATTATATATGCATATAGATGATATGTGCATATGTATGTGCATATATATATATATATATATATATATATATATATATGTTTTTGTGTATAGAAATATTTTTAATATTAGACTATAAAGGAAACGAACAGATCGAATTATATAGCAAGCGTATTGAAATGTACACCTTTTATATCAGTGAAGCATAATGTTAAGAAATAATTTATTACTAACATTAATATTACCTTTTGTCGACAATAACTTTTTTTATATTAAATGTATTAAAAATATTGTGCAATCGATTAATCAAAAAAGAAGCATAAGCTAATCAGTGTACAACATGCGTGATTTTCGCAAACCATGTAGCAAACGCATACTGAACACTTGCATAAACAAAATAGTTCACAGGATGGTTACTTCTATACTGTACATTACAAAGGTTAAGTTCATTCTCATGGAGTCTATTCTTCTAAGGTTATCATATGGAGATAACCAATCAGAAACGATTATTACGCGCGCTTTTTCAAACCAAGAATAATTTTTCGTGCACCTGAAATCAAATTAAAGCAATAAATTAAAATATAAATTAAAAATAAATATTTTCATTAATTTATTATAGTAATACTACTTTTTAAAACAGTTTTTTATTCATTATATTATAACTAAAAAAACTTTATATGTGTATATGAATAACAAATAGAGGTAATAACTAATATGGCGATAGCCAATCAAAAACATTTATTACGCGCGCTTTTTTAAACTAAGAACAATTTTTCTTTTAAGTGTAAATTTAAAATAAAAGTATACCCATAAAATTAAATCAAATATTGGATCTTTCACTGTACAGATACACATTAACATTGTATTATACTATATATTTGACTGTATTTATCTATAATAATGTACTGACAAAAAAACAGATTTTATTAAAATGTATTAGAACTTTCAAACACTTGATGGATATAGGGTAATTCAAACATCGTTAAGCATTGTATACCATCAATAATATTTTTTTACATATCTATAGACTACAATATGGCTATAAACCTGTAAAAGTAAGTTAGTGGTCATCATCATCATCATCTTCGGGACTTAAATTTTCACATTCTTTCATTAGAGGCGTATGTGGCCAGATGGAAGGATTGTATACAGTGCCGGCAGCACATTCCGGATGATATTCTAAGAATTCTTCTATTGTCATATCATTATACGGCATTATGGCTTTTAATTTAGCAACAGTTTCGCTAAATTTCTCAATGTCTTGTTCACATTTTTGGCGAAATTCTTCAATCTCTTGAAGCTGAAAATATATATAAGAAACATTTAGAATGTATTCAAATCGATATTTTTTAAACTACTTTTTGTAAAACTAAATAAAGAAGAAAGAAAAGTGTTTTACAATTTTTTTTTCTTCTCCATCGATAAGAGAAGTATATTTGTCAGCTGGGAACGGTACTTGTAATGCTTCGTACTCTTTCTGGAATTTTTCAACGAGACCAGGCGTTGTTACATTCTTTCTGTAATATTCCCAATTAAGCTTTGGTGAAGTTTCTGGATTTGCCATCATCCTGAAAAAAAAGAAAATTTAATCTAAGAAAGCATGATATAAATGAATTATTTGACAGTTGTATTATTGTACTATAAAAGAATTTAATACATATATACAATAATTGTATTAAATAAAACTATATCTATTCACTTATCATCAATTACTTTTGTTGCATGCACTAAAATATTACAAAATATTATATTATGTAATGACAGATTATTTGATGAACTAACCGACGTAAATATTGATCCGACTTCGCTTTAAATGCGACAAAAAGTCCTTTCTGTTCTTCTGGAACTCTTTCAGCTATTGCTGACCAATTAATTGCTTTGATCGCTCTTCGCGACATTGTTAACGTTTAATAATTATTGAAATATAAAAAGGTTAACGATAACGACCCTCTAAACCAGAGGTACCAGGAACCACACCAGACTACCAAGCAGGCAGGCACCTTAAAAAAACCACGTAATCTCTGTTTAGTTCAACATAGTTGTACATACACTTTAATAATCTATTAGCTCAAATATAAATTTGCTTGAATTAATCATAGAAACTAGCCTTAAGAAAAAGTAAAGAAGATAGGGATAGGAGATTAACAAAAAAAGAAAAGAAAGGAAGGTTAACTTAGTTTTCATGGTAGATGAACGGGGGCGTTACCGAACGTTGTCGAGTCAAAGTCATTGAAACTCGGCCGAATCGAGACGAGTTCTTACGAATAAAACTGGATCGATAAAACAGGAATATGGTCGTGAAGGGGGTAGACTGGGGTGTCGGCGAGGGTGGGCGGCGATCAGGCGGTTGAGCATAAAGAGGATAGGATAATATCGGTGTGCGCGCGTCCTCTTGGCTAACTTCGATTTCGCCACTTTAATGTCGGCGGAGACGAGGATGTAGTTATGCCGAAGAAAAGCACGAAGCATGTGAAGGAATCTGGGATAACGAGAAGCTCCCATCATCACAGTTGCGATTCCGGCACGAACACGGATATCAAAGTGAAGCACTTTCGAAGTGTTCACATTGGCGTTACAAATGGAAAGCGTTGGTTATCTCTTAAAAAAAGGCTTGGATTATCGACAGACGAAGACCTTGCAGTTTATCTTCTCGATCTTGCAGAATCTATCGTCAGGTAGGTTCAACGGTTTAACAGGCTATGACGTAGTTCTTGGTGTGCATTTAACATTTCGACTTGCATCAAAGAGTTCTCTTTCTCTATGCGCATGGGGGTAGCTGTCACTCTGTCGGGGTTTCCCCTCTACTGTCAACCGTCTGTTATACTCAATCGCCATCTTGCCGTAACGCGCCGGAGGGGCAAGGGAGGATGATCGATATCTGATCAAAAGCGCGGGATAATGGTCTTGTTTTCAATATTTTTCGAAATTATGTCAATCGTTCGATCTAGTTATATTTAGATCAATGCTTTTTTACAATGATTTTTATCAAAACAAACAAAAGATTATATATTTTTAGGATTTTGATTGTTATTATAATTAAACAATTTTATTTGCAAAAAAAAAGTAAAGAAGACGGACGCGAATCAGTTTTATTTTTATAACTTTGTGAAAAACATCTGTATAATTAATTGTATAACAATTTTGATTAATTTTATGTAATTAATGTCAGTTAATTAATTATTAAGTATGAAGATACTTAATAGTTGTATTATATTTTAGACAAGATAATAAATGCAATGGTCTTGAAGAATGGAAAACAGATGGCAAAGAAGAAAGGAACTCAGAAATTATCAAGACTGAAAATTCAATAGAAGATGCAGAAGAACCTCTTCGTCGAAGCCTAAGGAAGCAGAGTACTTCTGTATGTCCAGAACCTGATGTTTCATCTACCGATACAATACAGTCTTTACAAACGGAAGTACACGATGATGTTATCAAGCTCCATGTACGTCGCAGTTCAAGATCTAAACATCATAAAAATAAGGCTAAACATCATAAAGACAAACGCAAAAAAAGAAAACACTTAAAAAGTGCGCAGAATGTAGATGTGAATAAGGATTATAGATTAGAAGAAGAAAAAAGTCCCATTAAAAATACAAATTCAGTTATTTGTAACACAGAAGTAAATTCAGAAGCAGATAATAAATCTAAATTAGATGTAGAATGTTTTCATGTCGCTCCAAAAAATATCGAATCTATTATGACAAAGACTGAGCATCATATAGATAGCATAGGATTTATAAAGGATGTAAATAGTGAAAAGGATGAGTTAAATTGCAATAGTAAAGGTATCGATATACTTAACGGAGTAGCACAGATTGAAGAAAATACATCTAAACAAAATGTGCAATTGCAATCTACTCCAGCTGTACCATCCCCTGAAAGAAATGTAATGAATGAATCTGTTGTCAAAGTTGTAAAAGATATATTAAGTTCTCAAAATACGGAAAATGCAGAAAATAGGAAAATTCATGATATGGAAAATAAATCGCATAAGGAACAAAGCACAGAATCTCAGGAAAATAGTAGTTCAATTTCTAACGTGCTAGATGAAACGGAAAATGGCAAAACTTTGGAAGAACGTAAATTAAAAAAGAAACGAAAAAGACCAAAACATGAAACGGACGGGGAAGAAACTATTGTCAGAGATACGTGTGATGATTTTTTGGACGATGCAATGCACAAACATAGACGAAAAAAGCACAAGCATACTAGTGAGCACAAAAATAAAAAGCATCATGACGTGCGTAAAGCACCACAGGATGGAATCATTACTCAAGAAGAGACTCCAAATTTGAATATAGTAGAAAATGAATCAGTTATTTCGGTAATAGATAAAACTCAAAGTGATATAAATTTGGATGGTAATATGTCGGAGCCTCACAGATTAGCAATTACAATAAAACTCTGCCAAGATTGTAACAGTCGGCATTTACAAGATGCATGCCCACTTAATACACCTCAATATACTATTACAGATTCTATAACATATGAAGATTGGATAAATAAATACAAAGAAAATCTTGAAGTAATTAAGGCTTTAAAGTCTGATGATCCAATGTCAGAAGGCTATGGGAGATTACCAGATGATGGTTTTGAATCAGATGAAGATTCTGTGTCCGTAGATCATTGCAAATCTAAATCAAAAATACAGAGGGAAGAAAAGCAATTACTTATAGATTCAGACAGACCTTTGTATGCTAGAGATTCTTTACCTGAATGTTTTGAATTGAAAATTACAACAACAGAGCACGGTCTTGGAATTTACGCCAAGAACCCAGTTCCCATGTATGCCAAATTAGGTCCATTGGTTGGTAAATTTGTAAAAGAAATGGACATACCGGATGATTTTCCTATGAGACATATTTGGGAGGTAAGTTTAATATGTGATGAATTTTGATTATATTAAATAAATATAAATAGAAAAGCGCTTGTATTAAAAAATTACTTACTTTCTTTTTAGATAGATAATAATGGTAAAACTTCATATATCAGTACCACTAATCCATTAAAAAGTAATTGGATTCGTTATATGAGACCAGCTGAAACCAAGGAAGGAAGAAGCGTTACAGTAATTACAAAGCAAGGCGAATTACATCTTATCACTACACAAAATATCATGTCAGGAATGGAATTAACTTATTGGGCAGATTCATTGTCTTCAGCATGGACTAGGAAAAATAAAATTGATAAAACAAGTATGTTAATATTATTTTCTATTAATGGTAGTAATTAAAATTTTGCAATTAATTATTAATTCGATTACTCTTAGATTGTGGTGGATGTAATTTAAATTTTGCCCATCCTATATATTATCGGCTGCATTGCTGCATTTTTCATGATACCAATTATAGTTTGACTATTAGAAAATATCATTGTAAGGTAAGATGTAAACTAATTTTTTATTTTACATATTTATTATACTTTGCACATATAACAGAAGATTTTCTATTAGGTATGTGGAGCTGCAGTTCTAGGAAAGGATAATATTATGAAACATGCAGCAGAGTTACATGCAGGTCGTGGTGCATACCAATG